CAGGAGAGGACTCTTTAAAGTAGAGACACTACATACTAATATACACCTGAACATCAGCAGGAGAGGACTCTTTAAAGTAGAGACACTACATACTGATATACACCTGAACATCAGCAGGAGAGGACTCTTTAAAGTAGAGACACTACATACTGATATACACCTGAACATCAGCAGGAGAGGACTCTTTAAAGTAGAGACACTACATACTGATATACACCTGAACATCAGCAGGAGAGGACTCTTTAAAGTAGAGACACTACATACTGATATACACCTGAACATCAGCTGGAGAGGACTCTTTAAAGTAGAGACACTACATACTGATATACACCTGAACATCAGCAGGAGAGGACTCTTTAAAGTAGAGACACTACATACTGATATACACCTGAACATCAGCAGGAAAGGACTCTTTAAAGTAGAGACACTACATACTGATATACACCTGAACATCAGCTGGAGAGGACTCTTTAAAGTAGAGACACTGCATACTGATATACACCTGAACATCAGCAGGAGAGGACTCTTTAAAGTAGAGACACTACATACTGATATACCAGTCTTGATTCAGTATTTTGCTCAAGGACACTTCCTCCCACTCATATTTGATGATTACCACATAAACACTATACTTTTAAGTGTCACAATGAGACGGGTTAAGTAAGGGGTTAACAGTCTGCAGAGCTGTGTGTTTATGTGTTTGCCATTCAGATCAGGCCAGGTAATTACAGTTAGCTCTGTTTCCGCTCGAGCCAAATTAGCATGTTAAGTGGAGAAGCTCACAACACTGCAGTTTGTGTTTGAAACCACACACAAGTTTCCAGTCTCATGTTTACATTCTTCCCTGTCTGGAGGGACAATATAGAAAGAGTGACGGAAACGAGTTCCTCCTGTTAGCTGGGCGTGTGTTCACCCTGTGTACATAGGACATGAATTTGCACTATTGTCCCCTTGTCGAAGCTGTAGATAAATGGCTCGACGTGTGAAACCTGCATTGTATCTTTTGTCACAAAACGATGCAACTCGAAAGGTGGAAAAGATCGACGCGATTGCAGACATGAGGTTATGAGAACGCTATTAAACTGCTGATTATATAAGAAGGTAGGCAGCAATCAGGGGGCTTTGTGTAGGCTGGCAGCAGGTGTGGTGCATTATGCTCTGGCAGCTTCTCAGTCTTTAGTTAAATCGCCTGTTGGGTGCCGCCATCACTCCTAACAATTTACTTTAATCACTCTGTCTGTCAGGAGCCTCGGCCGAGCTGCATGATATCACTGCGTGGTGAAATCATGCAGCATTAAAGGGCTTTGTTATAAGACAGACAGGTGACAGCCAAAGAGAACGAAGTCATGCAGGTGCACCGAGAAGTCAAACTTATTTGGGGATTGCAGAGCAGAAAAAAACACTTTCTCCATGGCGGTGCTGTTGCATAAATGTTTTCAGGGTGTCCTGAACGGGTCAGATTCTCTGGAACAATGGCCTGACTCGCTCATGCGTGCACTCAGTCTCCCTTTGTGTCCCATTCTTTCACACACACACATTTTTCACTTACTGTCTTTATCTGTTGTTTTCCACATGCATGGTTTCTTAATCATTGCTGGAGAACATTACAGCTGCTGCAAAAGGCCTTCAAGACAACTAAATACCTTAAGATACACAATATAGCGCCTTTGTGAGATAGTGACCAAGGACACTATGTGCTGTAGCAGAGCAATTAGCATTTAAGCTACACAACATGTTCACATTTAACATTTCTATGAGACTGTATGCAACGTAATCACGCTGGGTATTTGACAATCAATCATCCATCTTTGGCTCTTCCCAAGATCTGTTATCTAGACACGTTTCTTCTCATGACTCTATAACTTATCATATTCCATGTCGCTGTCTCGGTTTCACATTCATCACGGCTGTCAGAGCAAATGTGAAGGCTTCTAAAACAGCTGAATCAGTTCGGGTTTGACTTTAAAAAAGGAGGGGAATCTCTGGTGAGGAATGTGCTGAAGGTACGAGGCGCAGGTTGAAGCAGGTTTTTTTTATTTTTACGGAGATAATCAGCGGTTAGCCTGCGGTTTTCACATCTGGACCCGAAAGTGGGAAGTGGTGAGTCGAACAGGAAGTGGCTTTTGATGCATGTCGACCATATCAGACGTAGCTGTGGTCAGGATGATGTCTGCGCGAGGAAGAGGAAGAGAGACGAGGGAGTTCATCCGAACTAACGGCTAACCTTTGGAGGGGACGGCTCATTCGTCAGACAGACGCTGTGGAGAGGTTTCACTTAATTACATCTTTCCACAGGGAGAAGGTCTCATTTGCAATTTCCTGCACTTTAAAACACGACTCCCTCGCTTTAACTATCTCTTTCTCCTGCGCGGTGCTTCTCCAGCTATCTCATCGAGGCTATTTCAACGTTAGTCTTGGATTTGACAGAAGAGGAAAAGCGACAGGTTCATTTAGAGTACTTAGTAAACTAAAGTAAATTATACTTAAAGAAGCCCTATTCTGTTTTTTGTGGCTTCCCTTTCCTGCTGTGTGTTATATTGGTGATTGTGTGTGTAAATGGTCTGCAGAGATGTTCTATTATCATTTTGTGTAATTGTTTTACAAAAATGATGTTTCTCAAAGTCATAATTCCAGATTGTAATAAAAAAAACTAGAAAACAACTATTTAAAGTTTTCACAAGCATACCTTATATTGATTTGAACTATATAGCAACATTTACTTCATTGCCTTCTGTAGCGGCCAAAATCCTATAGAACTAAAACAGCCGCTGAGGCACTAGAAGCAGATCTTACGCAGGGCAATGATCATCCAGGTCCAGACAAGAACCTCCATTTGTGCATTTTATTCCTATAATAAAGTACAACGAACAGGTTTCCTATATCTCTTTTCCTTAAGCTGTTCCTATGGCTTTCCTTTGCTGGCTTGAAACACCCTGGTAAGAAACCGTTTGCCTCCTAGTGCTCTGGCTCCCACCTCCACCTGTCTGTCTCCAATATATACAATTACACCAGGTGCTCTAACCACCCAGTGCCCAAACATGCCTTCAAAATAAAAGCATAGAAACTACTTTAACTTATGACGCTAACTAAGAATACATTTACAATAAACACTATAAACAGCAAGAAAATAAATGTTAAACTATTAAATAATATAAAGAGATATATAGCTCCAACACCTTCCATGCAAACATTTGTAAGTGTGAATGCAGGTTGGATTAGGCTGATGTAATTCCTACGTTCATGTGAAGCCAATGTAAGGATGACACAGAACAGCAGTGTGTGTGAGGGCATCGAATTCTCTCATGAATCATTCATCGTTCAGATTAGATTTCGCAGCACATGTCTGCTCTCAGGTGACTCGTCAACTCCGTGTGACCCCTGTGTTTTAAAAGGTCATTATCAGCATGTATTAACAGTATAAGGGCACTATTCACATAGTTTTAATCTGTGGGGGTTTGCAGCCTAAGCGAGTTACAGGAGTTGAGTGATGGCTCAGCGGCTCTCCCTGCTGTGTCAGGTCTTCATTCATTTGCATCAAAATCAGTAAATGCTTGACAAGTTAAACACAGAACCGTAGACTAAAAAGAAAGCGAGGGTTAGCCCCTCCTATTAGCCTCCTTTTCTCCTCAGTCCTCTGTGGATGTGTTTCCATGGTTCCTCTGTTTTGTCTGATTTCTTTTCCCATCTCACCTCCCACCACTGGCTTGACTTTATTCTTTATTTGTTCTCGTGTTTTTCTCAGTCTTTGCAGGGCATGCTCTTCTCCCTTCACTCTGAGCTTGACATTCAGAGGTACTTGATGAAAATCCAATTGGCCCACAGAGTTAGTCAGCCTTTTATCTTATCTGCATCGTGTGTGTGTGTGTGTGTGTGTGTGTGTGTGTGTGTGTGTGGTGTGTGTGTGTGTGTGTGTGTGTTGTGTGTGTGTGTGTGTGTGTGTGTGTGTGTGTGTGTGTGTGTGTGTGTGTGTGTGTGTGTGTGTGTGTGTGTGTGTGTGTGTGTGTGTGTGTGTGTATATCTTCATCCTCACTAACACCTGCTGCTGCTGCTGTGTGTCCCGCCGTGCCTCCCAGAGTCTGCCAAGCTCTGGATAAACCAGTCCTGGCCGAGAACTGCATTTAATATAAAAGCTTAAATTCTTTATTTGCCCGTACGTGTGTGAGAGAGCAGCATGCAGGCGTGTTCAGGGTAACCTGGTGGACCCGACTTTATCTGCCAGGAAATAGGAGTGTTTCATAAAGCGCCAAGTGTTCACTGACCTCTCAGTTATTGTCCCACCTCCTCCACTTCTGCAGATCACCTTACAGCGCCTCACAATACCTCCCTGGCTCTGTAGTCTCATCACACATTGAGTTATTGAAGAGGATCTGCTTACAGAGTAGCTCACCTATGTGATGTGACACACTTCTCGATCCTTAATCAGTTTGAAAACGTATTTTAAACACTGCTTGCATTATTATTAGACAAGCCCTTGTGCTTTAAGGGCTTCTCCCTTCCCTGTAGTGTGTTAAATAGGTTTGTGTGCATGTCAATGGTGTGGAAAGGCTTGAATCCCAAAGACATGTCCCAGTAGAGACACTACATACTGGTATGAACCTGGTGAATATGGAAAGTAAAAGTTGACGCTCTTGTAGAATGGTTACTGATGCTTTCAAACCCTTATTTACCTTGAGGTGCTTTTGGGACAGAGCTGCGTGGTATTTGATAGATTCTTTTATTCACTTTTGCATGACTGCTATGGTTTGGTTTATTCACTTGTTGTTGTGCTGGAGTCAAGCTTGACATCAAAGGTTTTTTTATTCCAGTGTGACTCACAGCACATGACATTGACGGATACTGTTGTTTCCTAACTCCCCCGAATGCACCGTATCTCTAAAACTTTGCCACGTTTCTTTGTGTCGTTTCGATATGAATGCATGTATTGTTCAATGTTTTGTGCCCAGTGTCTCCACGGTCTCACCCTTTTACTGTATCGTGTTTCCGTTGCCTCCCCCCTCCAGAGCAGAAGCCCAAAGCACGGCCCCAGCAGCGTTGGAGAGGCGGACCACCTCTCCCTGGCCTCCCTGGAGTCACTGGACACCATGTCTGAGGCCGACTCCCCCACAAACTTCACCCGCGGCAGCCGGGTTCGAGCTAGCCTGCCCGTGGTGCGATCGACCAATCAGACGAGGGACCGCTCGCTAGGTACGTTAGTTGTTGTTTTTTTATCCTACGTTTTTATTTTTGTCATACAAACTTTCTCAGACTTATTTTTCCCATTTTCCACATCTAGAAAGCCTAAACAATAAAATAAAAAGTTGATTATGTTAGAAAAATATCACTCGTCCCCGGCTTGAGCTTCAATCTCAGGATCCATGTGTTTGTGATCCTCTCCAGAATGGAAGTAGTCATCACATACAGAGCATCAACTAGTTCCTGAACAGTGTCCTTCACATGCTGATATCCAAGAGAGGGAGTTACACAGTCACAAGATGGAGGAATAGAAAGCAGTATTCAATGTTTACTTCAGATTAGCTCCACATCAGAAATGAGCATGCTTGATGTCTCTCTCCATAGAGGCTGAATCATCATGTTAATCACATAGCTATCATATGCCTCAAACAGTCCTGATGCTCTTCCAGGTAATCACACATCCTGTCATGTTCACAGCTACAGTTGGGATACCTTTGTTATCATGTGACTCTCATGTTGGAAGAGGACATTCAGTGTTTTCCCAACAGTTTATTAAGTAAAAGAAGTGTAGAAATACTCTGTTACAAGTCAAACTCCTGCTTTCAAACTGTACTTGTAAAAGTACAAACGTTTTGGCCTACAAATATACTTTAAGTACCAAAAATAAAAATACTTGTTATGCAGAATGGACCATTTAAAGGTAGGGTAGGTAAGAATGGAGAAAGCAGCTTGAGTGCGCCCCTTCCTTCAGACTTCCTTACAGAGCCCCTCCTCCAACACACACGAAGTGTTTCTGAAGTGAATTATCTACCCCACCTTTAAGCACCATATATTTTAAATGATTGTATTATAATAACTTCAATGTTGCACCTGGTAAAAGTGGGGTTTATTTTGAATGACTTTATATACAATTAGGTAGCCTAATAATTAGGGCCGGGACTCGATTAAAAAAATTAATCTAATTAATTAGAGGCTTTGTAATTAATTAATCGAAATTAATCGCATTTTTAATCGCATATAAATATTTGACCTAAGAACAGTGAGAAGCAATTTTTTTCACATGGATTTTAGTATACCATTAGGCGCATTCACACCGCAGTACTTTTCCCACAAAGGTTCATGAGAACTTAGTTCATGAGAACTCTTTGAACCTGGGGGTGGATTAGGCAAATGAAGCCGCTGACGTCACTTCTTCTTCTTCTGCTTTGGGTTTACTGGCAGGCCGCAAACCACTTCACGGCGTATACTGCCGCCCAAAGTCCCCGGCCGGAAGTCCCCGGAGTTAGGGAAGGCTTCAGTAGAAGCTGCTGGGAGTCCCAGCAGCTTCTACTGAAGCCTTCCGAGTAAATCGCCAGAACGCCGACACCTCCTCATCTCCACCGCTCCCATGTTTTATTTTGTGTTGCCATAAGTTAGTCTCTCTGCGTTTCTGCGCTGGGCTAATGCTAATAATGCTAATGCGAGGATAATAAAATGGCGAATTCACCAAACTTTTTGGGAGTTTTACGGGGCGTGGTTTGCAATCCGCCCAGCCAATCATAAATATAGCTCTTTTCTCACAAGAGAGCCGTACGAAAGTCCCTGCTCTCTAGCAGCTCTCTGCTCTCTAGCAGGAACTTTCGTGGGGGTAAAAAGGTTCTCATGAACTCATTTTAGTACCGGCTCTTTTTGGTGTGAACCATAGACTGTATGGTGTGAACGCGATAAAAGAGGCTAACGTCCACGCTAGCTTCCACGCTAGCTGCTATATGTTTTGCATTGAGGTGATACTTGAGGCTTGATGTGCTGCGGTGATATGCGAATTCCTTTTTGCATAATTTGCACACAACCGTGCTCTTATCGACGCTTCCATCCGTCCGTTTTTTAAAACAACATTTCCCACTGTTGTTCACTGTGGTTTGTTGTTGTCTGAAGTCATGAACGTTAGTTGGTGCTCCAGTATAATCGGTACGCCTGAAACTCATCCAGTGAGAAACGTTCCGCGGTGCAAAAATAAGTGCGATTAAAATGCGTTAATTTTTTTAACGCGTTAATTTTTGTGTAATTAATTAATCTTAATTAACGCGTTAAAGTCCCGGCCCTACTAATAATATATGATAATGTCTTTGTTGATTTATATTAATAGTAAGAACCTAAATCTACAAATGACCTAACTTAAAGGTGGGATATGCAAGTTTGAGAAACCGGCTCGAGTGCGCTAGAATTTGAAAATACACGACCGGAGAAAGTCTGCCACTTCCTCACAGAGCCCCTCCTCCAACACACAAACGCGCACATGACCAATGAGGGCACGAGATGAGTTTGTGCCCCGATGGAAGGCTGACAGGCAGGTAGGCCATCCAGTTACTTTAGCCGGCTCAGATGATTGGTCGAGCTTTTTACAGAGCCACGGCTTCCACAGATGATATGTTTTTATGGATTTTTTGTCAAAGCACTTCAGATATTCATTGCTATCGGGATGTTAAGAGCATTCCATGGAATATAACAACAAGTGTATCTCGAGCCGGTTTCTCAAACGTACCTACCCCACCTTTAATATGTAAATAAAAAATGAAGTAAAGTAAAAAAAAAGTACCTACATTTTTTTCAAAAAGTTACATACCTGAGTAAATGTCCTTAGTTATATTCCACCTTTGATATCTAGAAGTGATTATGAATAAAAGTGTTATCTTAAATCTGAAATTAACGTAGTGAGGGGAAAGTAGTCCTCTTGGATAACCTGCAGGTTTTGATTTTGCATAACTCTCTGAAAAACGTCTAAACACACCTTGGTTTCACCTTGTCCAGCTCTCCTCCTCTCACTCCATCTATCTCCTCCTCCTCCCTCCTCCCGTCTCTCCACCTCAGCTCACAGCTCCACTTTAATTACACTCCTTCCCTCTGTAGTGAAAGATTAGGGAATCCTTCCACAATGTGCCATCGTGTTATTGACAGGATTAGAAACGGGTCGTCTTATCAACACACACGCTGCTTCATTTGCATCCAAACGCAGAGCGATGTGCAGAATGAGGCCGCTGCATTAGGGCTGAGAGGAAAAAGTTAGAAATAGTTTGAAAACTTCCCGAACAAGGTGTTGAGTCTGTCGTTTTTTTTAAGGATGTAGTCTTCAAAGCTTCTGCGTCTGAATGGCACGCCTTTTGACCAAAGTGAAAGTGAATAAAACTATAGGGTGCCATTTTCCACGCTTTCTCGTGCCAGGAACGCCTCCTGCTTGGACTTGAAAAGCAGAGAGACACACACACACACGCACACACACACACACACACACACACACACACACACACACACACACACACACACACACGCCCCAGTTCCTTCCCTTTCCCTCTCAAAAACATCAGGACAAAGCGTTATGACAGCAGGGGGTCACAGTGTGATAAAGGGGGAGGAGAGAGAAAGGGGCACCCTTCAACTAAAGTGTCCCTCCCACAGCCTCACACACACACAAACACACACACACACTTCGCCGAGTCCCAACGGACATTTGGGTCTTAGTATTTTCAGCCTGTTCTGAAGGAGTTGTCGCATGGAGCATCAGAAAACAGGAAATCCCTTAAAGCCCCTAATGTGAGTATCGGATTTCATGTAGAGCGTGGCATCAGGTTTATTATATTTCAAGAGGATTTAATAACAGCGTGTTTCTACTCTGCCTCTTAATTTTGACGGACATAGATTGAAGTTGCACTTAGTTAAAGCCTTTCCTTCCCAGTGGAAAACATTTTAAAGAGCAGACAGTCTGCAGTTTTCTGTGCCCATTTGGTCCGGAAACCCACTTTGCCATTTGCTTCCAATCCCGAGTGAAACCAGGCGCTCAGGAATGTAACAAGACTCTTTGTTGCAGGCGGATAAAAACTAATGTTAAAGAATTCAAATCGTCCTAATGCGAGCTCAATCAATGGCGCTTTGTCACCAAACTCCTTCATTGCCAACATCTGGATGAAAAGCAGCCGAGTGTTAACGCAACGCGCTCTCAGGGGAAGGGTGAAGTTATTCTGCGAGTTGTTAGACCCAGACAGACCAGAAAGAGCGCCGTGAAGGACTCAGCGATTTTTATTTCCTGGATTTACCCTCTGTCTCGTGGAGCATGTTGGATCCTGTATAATATTTCAATAACATCTGGTAGCTTTTACTGACGCTGTCCTTTTATGGGGTTACACCAAGTAGAACTACCGCTTTCCTTTTAACCAGCTATTATTAGTGTGAAGGGACACTGATTTATGTCTGAGCTGTTCATTAAACGTGACATTCTCGTATAATACAGTAGCGTATGCAGAAATGTACTTTAGGGTGGGCCAGAACAACAATCCCCTCCGGTACCGGTGGCAGATTACTTTTAGAATATTTTTGGAATACTTTCTTTTTCCATAACAGATGGGTATGTTTTGGTGAATAGGAGACACGTATTTTACTGTTCTAATGGCGTATCAAGAGCTCAAACACAACATCTTGGTGTCATTCTGGACAGCTCTCTCATCTGCACCACACATACAAAACATCACCCGGACTGCATTCTTTGTCCTGTCTTAAACCTTTCCTTAGTATGAATTGTAAGGTGCTTTGAAAGGCGCCCCTAAATAGAATGAATTATCATTATTATTTATTATTATGATCTGAAACGATGTAATAACTTTTAAAACTGTTTCCAGTCACTTGCCCTACAAAACTACAGATAGATCCAATGAAAATCTGTGCCACGCAGTTTGAAATCAGTGTTTTCCTCTACCCTGGCATTGTTTATACAAGTACAGTGAAGGCGTGTGCAGAAGTGATGTGGGGGAGACATCTGCTTTTTTAGAGCGCAGTACAGAAGCCACACCCAGGGTTCAGAAGTTCAGCCTTTGTTTTTTTTTAAATGCACAATTTGTGCTGTTCCATCCCGAGCACACCGGCATGCTTCGGCCCCAAATCACTTTCATTTCAAAGTGATTTGTCTGGAATTCACAGCAACACGAATCAGGAGCAACGTGGCAGGTGGAGAACAAAAACACAGACCACAAGTATGCAACTAAACATCTGATGCACAGCTCTACTGCAAAAGTAAAGGTTGCTTGGTCTCCTAACCAAGTCTGTCCTTTTGACCTTAAAGCTTGACAGTAGATGCATAACAATACAAAAATGAACCTGAAAATGAGCAGAAGAGGGCCCCTTTGAGATCAGCTGCCAGGTATTGATGGTGTAAATGGCACAGGAAAAGGGGATTTATTAATTAGATCATGTGTTGGAGGTTGTTATGGAGGGTAACAAGCACACCGTTGCATTGTTATTTGTTCTTATATCGAGCTGAAAAGGTAACAATATGCAGAAAAAGGCTCCAAATCCAAACTTTTCTTGAGTAATTTCTTTTTTTGGGTACTAATTTTGATAGCTGTGGCTCAGTGAATAGTGTGCTGGACTTCGAATCAGAGGGTAGCAAGTTCGAATCCCACTGCAGCATGTCGTTGTGTCCCTGAGACACTTCACCCCAAATTCAATACTGTGGACAATCCCCACAGGCGCAATTTGGGGTGGGTCATAGGAAATACTGTTGTGGCTCATCCCCTGCTGCCCTGCTCTCTGTGCACAGGTGTGCTGTACCTGCAGTACGGAGACGAGACCAAACAGATCCGCATGCCCAACGAGATCACCGGCATCGACACCATCAGAGCTCTGTTCGTCAGTGCCTTCGCAGCGCAGCTCAACATGAAGATGCTGGAGTCGCCCAGCGTCGCCGTCTACGTCAAAGACGACATGAGGAACGTGTACTACGAGCTCACCGATGTCAGGTACAGACGTTAAGCAGAATGTGTGTTGGGCTGCATGCATCGTGTCCGTTTTAGTTCAACGGGGCATCCGAGGCTATTTCCTTTTCCACTCCCTGAGAACTTCCTGTCTAAACTTCCCACTGCACAGGAAAGTCTTGCTTCCTTTTTGCATCGTGTGCAAACTTAGTATAAATAACATTATATAGAAATGAAGACAACATTCTAACAAACTGTACGGTGTCCTTGGGTGTCATGAAAGGCGCCTAAAATAAAATGTATTATTAACATGTCTCCAATAGACCCAAACAAACTGCAGAGCACATTATAAGCTTAGAGGACTTGTTGTCCTGTCCTCGCTCGGCAAAGTTTGAATAATGTGAACTTTTAAAATAATTTTCAAGGTTTAGTTTCCAAAGTATTGTGCACTGTGCTCTCGTACAGTATGCACTTTTACTTGTTCCTCCCTTATTTGGTATTCACGAGCATGCCTTGTCAATAATGCAGCAGATTTTACTTTGTTCTAGTTTTTCAGAAACACCACATTACTCTTGAACACATAACCAACTTTGCCCTCTTCTCTGCACACTTCCTGCTGCGGCTAGATGTGTACTTTGTGACTAATACTTTATCTTGGCTGTAAAACAGTGTCTCGTGATGTCTTAAGGTGGGTGCAGGCGTCCAGGTTGCAACACCACACTGAGTAAGACCAGCAGAGGAAGAAGAAGGAGCTTTATGTAGACGAGTGAACACAGTATTAGTGGATGTTTGGAGAGCTTTAGAGGAGATGTCTTATGACAGAGGGTTGTCAGAGTATGGCTACGGGCCTCAGTCAGGATACGTTCCTCTGTCAGGATACGTTCCTCTGTCAGGATACGTTCCTCTGTCAGGATACGTTCCTCTGTCAGGGCTGAGGCACAGAGTCAGATCCAGGCTGAATCAGGACCGCCCGCTGTCTGACGGCGATCTCTGGACTGCTTATTTACCACGGGACACTTCTACTCCCTACAGGAACATCACGGATCACTCCTGTCTGAAGGTGTACCACAAAGACCCGGCGCAGGCCTTCAGCCATGGACCCCGACCTGCTAATGGAGACGCCAGGGTGAGTACTTCAGTGACACAGATGCTGCTAAAACAACCGTGAAAATGAGCTTCTTGCTGCAGATATAATGGCAAGCCCAGCCTCCCAGATATGGCAGAAATAAACACATACTTCACTCCAGTAGAAGTAAGGCATGGCAAGTTTGTTTATATAGCACCTTTCAACACAAGGCAATTCAAAGTGCTTTACAGGAATCAAAAACGTTGAGAGCATTAGGAAATAGTGCGGCGGAAACACACTTTAAAATGGCATTTAAAAAAGCTAAATACAGAATAACACAGGTATCAAATACATGAATGAAAGTTACAGTGCAGTTTAAGATGTGAATAGTTCAATTGAAAGCAGCTGCAAAAAGAAAAGTCTTCAGCCTGGATTAAAAATAGTAAGAGTTGCAGGTTTCTGGGAGTTTGTTGAAGATATTTAGACACTCTAAATCAGGGGTGTCAAACTCAATTTCATCGCGGGCACATTAGCATTATGGTTACACTCAAAGGGCCGGTTGTAACTATATAAATATACAGTACCAGTCAAAAGTTTGGACACACCTTCTCATTCATTTATTTATTTTAATAATTTTCTACATTGTAGATTAATACTAAATACATCAAAACTATAAAAGAACACATAGGGAATTATCTAGTTAACAAAAATCCAGAATATGATTTATATTTTAGATTCAAATTAGCCCCCTTTTGCCTTGACAGCTTTGCACACTCTTGGCTTCTCAATATATATATACATATGTAAATATGTAATATATATTAAATAATGTATTATATTACATTATTGCCTCTGCATTGGATTATTATCAGTTCTCGTAATAACTTCCTAAATAACTACGTCTGAAAGCAGAAGTCTAGGGCAAATAATTGAAAGCAAATATTCAACAATTACACCAATTGTATTGTATATAATATTCTTTGCAAGCCACATAAAATGAGGTCGCGGGCCGGATTTGGCCCACGGGCCTTGAGTTTGACACCCCTGCTCTTAATACTAATGATCACGCCTCCAAATGCAGAGTAAAACTAAAAGCCTGTTTGGTAAATGTGAGAAGTAGAATTACAATCTACTTAAGTACAGAAACGAGGTATTTGTACTTCACTTCTTCCCACCTCCACATCCTGTTTGCAGTAAAGAGAAGGAATGTCCCCCTGCTTCTTCTTAATCTTTTTAGCGGGGTCTCATATTGTTCTCCGAGAGGCCTTCGTTTGGGCCAATTGGGCTCAAATCTCAGGACCTTTTCTTGTTCATTCTCCCCCCAATATCAGCTCTAATCTCTTCCTCTTGTTCCGATGTTTGTTTCCTGCTGATGTAACAGAATGTAAGCCCATTTTCCTCAAATGTCCCCCCTCTTAATCCGCCTGACCCTCTATCTAACCTGCTCTGTCTGCAGCCGATATCAAGGCAGCGTTGTGATATTGCACAAAATGACATTAACCTCAGCTATAATCCCATTGCCACATCCTGCATGAGTATACAGAGAGATGTATAACTTTTAGAGGAATGATGAGGGGCTGCTTCAGATGGCAAGATGACTCTAAGGCGCTGCAGAAACTTTATTTACAAGAGACATTTGATTACACAAATATAACAAGTGAAAAGGGACATTTAAAAGGTCCAAGCTGTACAATAGCAGGAGAAATTGCAAGTTGGCCACAGTAACGAAACGTTTCCATCCTTTTTTCGATGCATTTTTAACGTAATTGCCTATTTAACGCTTGCTGATTCAGCACTTTTTTTAAATATAACTGGACGTACTACCGTGCACTAAGCAGAAAGAGGCAGGGCAACTTTGAAGGGCTCTTGTCTTGTACAAACATTGTGAAACCTAGATACGCTGAAGAGGGTTGAGCCATAAATGGTTCTGTCACTGTTTAACTAGGCAGCAATTGGCACAGATACAATCGTGTGTGTGTGTGTGTGTGTGTGTTTTATGGCACTTATGGCTTTAACCTTTCCCTACAACCATATTGGCGAGTAGACAGACACAAACACGTTTGAAGAAATATCTTTTTCTTGGCAGCTGCAAAGCTAGGACTCAATATTTTTCAGATAGCTTGAGGAGACAAAAAAGTATTTCTAGTTTTTGACAAGATCTTTTAATTAGGGAGGAGAAACCCTCGGAGCGAAAGGGTAAAAATGACATCCTAATAAGATGTACACCTGTTCAGACACTTTTAGGGGTGTTATCTGTTTGGGCTATTAGAGCGTCCTTTTGTCTTGAATGCAGGAATGCTAGGCTTTAGATAACATTCAAATATCATCTGCACTTTAACTCAGATGTTATGGACACATAGAGCTGCCTCTGCTTATGAAAACTACCATCTTATCTGTCTGTATTCGATATAAGGTGCGCAGATACTAAGTAACCGCAGGATAGACGTTAGACTGTGAGAATAAAGTGGTATTTTCTTGCATTTGAAGCTGCTCTTTTGTCATGTTGCAAATATTAATCCGTTCCCATGTAAGGGATTGTGCCAAGAGCATTGCTTTGTATTCATAGGATAGTCAATAGTGGCTGTCAGATGTACACAAAGCTGGAGGAGATATTTTGTAAACAGAGTTTTTGGCTAACCTCTGATCGGTTCTCCTCAGTGCAATCAATCTAATTTTGAGGAAACATTTTACGCTTTTATGAATATTATACCACAATTATAAGGAGGCCCTCGTCTTTTTTGCACTGCCATTATGTACACAGCAGCATAGTTCATGCAGCCAGCTATTTAAATGTTGACACAGTTCCAGCATGGCAGGCCATCGAGGCGCTGTGTGCATTTCCACCAGACAGACTGCCCTCATTATTAGAAGCTTATGGACACGGTGCAAACAAAAAGAGGAAGTCAAACTCAAACCATATGCGTCTCAAAGCTTGCCCTGTGTGTTTATTTTTCTAGCCTTTACCCCTCTGTTTTGTCTCCAAGCAGAAATGTAGGCATGTTCTGCACACAAATACAGACGGTCTTGATAAAGTCGATGTATTTTAAGCATATTTGAAGTCTTATTAAATCAGTTTGGGATTTGCGAGTCGTGCCTTTTGGCTTGATTCGTTCCCATGAGGCTGTGCTGGAGCAGTCGGAGATGTGAGGCTCTTCAACGCTCCAGAGAAATTCCTGCAGAATAATTCAATGTTTCTCTTTGTGTGTGTAGGCAGCTCTGATAGTGGAAGCCATTAGGGTTTGATGAGGGTCTGCAGGGGCTCTGTGCTTCTTAGATGTCCTATTATATGTTTTGTTGCTTGGTCAGACTGGTTATATTTATGGGCTGTGTTGCTTTCACTGACAACTTTCTTCCTTCCCCTTTGTTATCCAAGCTTTTGTTACCACTGTTAGAGCAGTTGTTGATTTCCAGTATACACACACACACACACACACACACACACACACACACACACACACACACACACACACACACACACACACACACACACACACACCCTTTGTTGTATTAATCTGTAGCGTGTCAGGGGAAATAAATAAACACACCAAAAAGAAAGTGTCAAAGACTGAACTGCATTGGGTTTCGACTTGTCTTCCTATGTAGGTGTAACCCATGAGTCATACCTGGAAGGAACAATAGCTTGTTTGTTTGACAGCAACAGAGGGTTTAGACAGGAAGACAGATTAATTAGATTCAGTCCTGCTGCTTCTCAGCTCAGTGTTATCATAAGCAGCATTTCACATCACTGTCTATAGGCCTATCCCTGTTGACATACTGCATTTCAGGTGTGCTATAGCTATCAGAGAAATGTTTAAACAAATGCAAAATGAACTCAAACTTGGAATAAATATTCGTTTTATGTTAACTGGATACTAGATACAGTATCTAAAGTAAATGCTAGCATTACTGTTAGCCACAATAAGCTACTGTATAGTTTGCATGTGTCTGTTGTGCTAGCTAGCACAGAAACATTTTTACTTATGTAAAATTAAGTCACGCCTTGAATAAATAAACGCAATATATTGTAGTCATTTTTGCAGGTTTTTCCTCTAAGAATTCAGAAGTTTTAAGTTAAATCAGTACCTGATACAGTATCTACACAGTATCGAATGTAAATGCTAACATTAGCTACTGTTAGCCAACATAAGCTCATGTAAAGTTGCCATACGTCCACATGTTTTTGCATCAAAATGACTCAATGGGTTACATGACAGTACACTATCTAAACCATAACTTAGCTAAATTAGCTAAAATAAGCTAACCCTAGCTACAGCAGGCTACTATAGCGTCGTATAAGTGTTGTGTGATAAGTTTTTTTTGCTGCTTATCAGTTCAACTTTGCACTTGCATAAGGAAGACAGCGTAGGTGTGTATTTTTTGAAAAATCACAGTCTCACTTTCAGTACAACCAGACATGCCAACCTTTCCAAATCCAAAAGAGGTAGGTTTGCGCGCGGCAAATGTGCACGCCCAAATTAGGTAATCAGAATAAATGGAACCCCAGTAATTACAGGTATAAACCATAGACTGTATATATAAAGGTATAAACCTGTATTTAACAAATATTGCATCATTTTATGCATTTTTCAGAAAAAGTGGTAGTTTGGTAAACAGTGACATCAACGACATGTTTGGTCTGTAAAATGCCCGAAAAGTAATTTAAGAATGGGAGATAAATATCCCAAAGTCTCCACATGTCATTATATTTTTTTAATGTGTTTCTGGTCCTCTTTCAGTTGAGACAGTGTAGATGAAGGATGTGTCAGGATGTAGAACTACAGTGTGAACATTGGATGAAGCCAGGTTCATATTCTTGTTTCATGTTGTTGACATATTAGTCAAAGGTTTGCACAGAGCGAAATATCTGTGTTGCGCCATAAATCAGAAAATACTGCATTCAAAAAAGTCATTTCCTGCATTTTTCTACTGATAAAGTGTGATATAAATAATACAGGCTTTCAGATTGCTGTAGTTCACTTATCAGAGACATTAACGACATGTTTGGTGTTGAAAATGTCAGAAAAGGTGAAAGAATGGGAGATAAATATCCCCAAATCTCAACATGTTATTTTATTTTTGGTGTGTTTATGGTCCTCTTTCAGTTGAGACATTGTAGGTGAAGGATGCTTCAGGAAAAGACCAAACACTGGATGTCTTTCAGTCACCAACTTGTGTTTTCGAGACACTGATATTAACGGGGAAACCCTGCAGGACTCAAATGCCTCGTCTCTGTTCCCTTAAACTCATTTGGGAGTGATTACCCATCAGCCCCGGGGGTGCAGAGGAAAGGCAGCGTTACCCCGGTTACCCCTGGTCTGCACGTTGTTTCTTCTTTCAGAAACACAGAGGACTGTTCGTATGATGCGATCACAGACACGCTGCAAACGGTGTCCCCCAAAAGTCGAGTCCAGTGTCTATGGAGTGTCATTTTTATTTGTTATAATTTGGGAAGATTGAAAATCGGTTGGGAAAGCCAGCTAAGTCGGTAGGCGGTAGAAACATGTCAAAAGCGGTAGGGTTGGCAGGTACAACCCAGTCTCACGGCATTTCGTGTTAAAGTCACAAAATGAATCTATTGATTTGTGTATTGGTAGTATGTAGTAGAGGCTCTGAGCTCCATTTCTTTTCCTAACGGACGGCAAAAAAGTCAGACATTATACAATTTTAAATAAAAACAAGAAATTGAGTAAGAAAATGTTTTTATGAACCCCACAGCTTCCGGCCTTCCGGACAAAAAGACGTGGTGCAGGCACGAAACATACTACCAATAGAAATACATCTTTTAAAATCGTTCTGTGTGACACGAAAAAAAGGGGGAAATCGTGTTGGTGAACACGAAGCAATAGATTAAATGTCGTGACTATAACACGAAATGCCGTGAGACTGGGTTGCATGTGTAGTTGCCACAAGTCCACATGGTTTTGCATCTAAAAACTCAATGCCCCTGCAAGGTAATGCTTCTTTTTCTGAGCATAAGGTTATCAACATGACTCAATGGGTTACATGACAGTACACTATCTAAACCATAACTTAGCTAAATTAGCTCAAATAAGCTAACCCTAGCTACAGCAGGCTATAGCATCTATATCTAAGTGTTGTGTGATAAGGTTTGTTTTGCTGCTTATCAGTTCAACGTTGCACTTGCATAAGGAAGACAGCGTAGTGTATTTTTTGAAAAATCACAGTCTCACTTTCAGTTGCCTAGCCACAAATAAGGAAGCAAAGACTCTTACGAAGATAATTGCCAAGAAATGTGATCGAAACTTGTTTTACTTGACACATCGGGTGGTTCACCACATAAACCAGATTTCCTTTTACTTCATCTATGTACATGTAAAGGTTTCACCTCGTTGTTTGTAGTGTTACCACAGCCTGAGCACTCGTATAACCCGGAAAGCCACTGCAGTTAAATGAGGTTTATTGCACACAAGCCTCCAAGGGTCCTTTATGGGTGTTATGCTGACTGTTTGAATAGATAGATGTTGTTGAAAATTAACCTCTTGCAACCTATTTATAAAAGCACCAATCGTATCTCAAAGACAGCAATCACAGATTTGTTTGAAGTTGAAAAAAGTAAATTTACTTTAGGAATACAGAATAAATAGTATAACGTTCATGTATTATAATATTGTTTTTATAAAAGCCTGTGGGCATAAGATCCAGGACTTTGAGCTAAATGTTATACTGTGTATCTGAGGATTGTAGCTTTGTGAGTAACTATTTTCTGCTTCTGGCGAAATTGCTGACGAGCAGAGTTTCTTTGAAAAGCAACAGTGTAAACCGAGTTAGCTGGATGTTTTTGTTTCAAGGCCACTTCAGTCAAGAGATCCAGAATATATACAAAATAAACAGCAGCTGAAGCCCTCAAGCTGGCAGAAATATGCAGTCTGGTTTATTGGAGAGACCTAAAAATAAAGGATATTTTACTTTTCATACTCAAAGGTAACTCAAAGTGCTTCACAAACCAAACACACTCAAGTTAAAAACAATACTTATCTCCCCCTGCCCAGGTAATATTCAGAGTAACACATAGCTCTGTGATTAAATAGAACAGGACTGAATAAATCAAGAATACAATAATAATAAAATACAAGAATGATAACACCATGTCTGTTTTGAATACGGTGTTGAAGGTTGTGTATGTGTTTATACATTTACTGCATAATAAGATTACAACAAACCTTTCTCATGGGTGATGTTCCAGTTTTAATCTTCAACAGCAGCTTCATGATCTTCCTCTTTCTCATGGGACTCATAGACCTCCACCTAAAACATAAAAAACCCAGTCATAGAACATGCAGCAGGATCAAAGCAAGAATAAAATAATAATAAAATATTACTTTCTATCTGTATTATGTGTGATGTACTTTGGACTAACAGCTTGCTTTTGTGCTTCTACAGATGCACAGTGAGATGGTGCATGCTGGTCGTGATGGGCCTCACCCTCTGAGACAGCCCCCCATGGGCCCCCCCCCTCACCACCCCATGCAGGGAGCACTTCCCTCGACCCCCCACTCCATGCCCCCGTCCCCCTCCAGAATCCCCTTCGGCCCGCGACAGGGCCCCATACCTGGAAGCGCCACCATCCCAAGAGAGCGTCTTCCTAACGCCAGTCCTCGCTCCATCTCCCCGTGTCCCAGCGCCATCCTGGAGAGAAGGGACGTCAAACCGGATGAAGACAGAGGGGGTAAAAGCCACAGTTTGTCCAGGGGCAACGAGGGCTTGTACGCGGATCCATACTTGCTCCAAGATGGCAGGATGGCTCATGGATCGCACCCCAATCCTGGTTCTGATGTTCCAGATCATGGCATGGGGGGATTTCACAGAGCCTCCATCCGCTCCACAGGCTCTTACAGCGGGCCGAGTCCCACAGACAGTATGGAGCATCCCTCCCTCTACAGGCAGAAGTCCAGAAACAGCCAGCTTCCAACTCTGGGATCCAAGACTCCTCCGCCATCCCCGCACCGCATGGCTGAGGTACGGATGATTGACATCCATGGGGGACATCCTCATGGCCCGCCTCCTCATGGGATGCCTATTCACGGCATGCCACCTCACGGCATGCCACCTCATGGGATGCCTCCTCATGGGATGCCTCCTCATGGGATGCCTCCTCACGGGATGCCTCCTCATGGCGTTCCTCCTCATGGCGTTCCACCTCATGGGATGCCTCCTCATGGGATGCCTCCTCATGGCGTTCCTCCTCATGGCGTTCCTCCTCATGGCGTTCCCATGGAGAGAAGCTCACCTGTGCGCCAGTCCTTCAGGAAGGAGGAAGTGTCAGGAACCAAGCCTCGAAACAACATGGGATCCCCTGTGGTGTCCGACATCCAGGGCCACCTCCAGGGGCCCATCCCACCTGCCAATGAGCACCACACACGGTAAGGAGGACGAATAGGCTGGTTAAATATAATGTTATTTAGACGTCGCATGGGAGCATGGACTAACTCTGCATCCCAGATTCATCCTAACAACGAGCTGCTGACTGTTCCATCATCCAAAACTATAACCCAGCGTGTGTTGAGCGTCAGGTTCTGCAGACATGATTATGCATCTGTGTGGTTTGTGTGTATAACAAGTTCTGCTTATCTGACCCTTGTTTTCACAGTCTCTGTTGGTTATTACAGATTTTGTAGACCCAGACGTAGCTGCAACCACTGAAACCGTATAGCATCTGGAGACCCCATTAATCCACTGTATATTATTCTGTTACTCTGTGGCTATTGTTCTAACAACAAACCCACTGCAGACGTTTTGGTACCTGGGTTCGGTTTATCCAGTCTGACTGAGAGCACATAAACATAGAAAGATGGATTGTTGCCACTTAACAGGACAAAGGTGGGTTTAACTAAAGGCAGGCTATTTGCTTACCTAGGAAAACCAAAGAAAATATTGACCAGGGTTGAATAAGTATTTTAAATGGCTCAATCAGTCAAAGCGATCAGGCCGGACCACCTGGGTAGCCGATGCCCTGGGAGAAGAAAGTGTTGGAGTTTGAGTGGGAAAGTACTGTACTTACCGTTCTAAATAAACATAGACCCAACATGTGAAATATGCTGAGGTTTATTGAGGTCTATTGTCTCCAGCTAAAACCACACCGAGTCCTCAGCTGACCGCCTGTCCTTCCTCAAGATAAACCATCTAAAAAACAAAAGCTTTCCAACGGCTCACCAAGCAATCTGGGTGTTAGTTCTACTCTTCATCCCTCTGGCTTTCTTTAGGCAGTGTATTTATCCAATTGTCCTCTCATGGTCTTCAGGGAGACCACCACTTGTGACAAACACTCGTTTTATTTAAAAAACAAAATCAGACCGTCTCGACCTCAGGGCTTTTCTCTCATCTTAAGTCGTCCGTCTTGTTTTTATTCCATTTGGACTCAAGCGACTTTCTGATTGTGGAAAGACTCAAGTCAAGGGGTGCTGCATTGTTGTGATTCAGACACTATTTACTTCAATATTTACTCGGGGCATAATTGCAAATCAATTCCACTTTGTTATCCTTTTAAAATTACAAAAAACATCACATTTAATTGATTTAGCTGTGCCTCCATTTCCATTCTGAGCTGATATTTGCTCTGGTGGCAGCTGTGATATCCAATAGGTCCTCAGTGATAAAAGTAGAATTTTCTGATGTTTCTGCAGAGTGCGAATGAAGGCTATGGAGCAACAGATTGCCAGCTTGACTGGTCTTGTTCAGCATGCACTTTTAAAGGAGCCAAACACTAGTGGCAGCAAGGAGCTACTAAGGTAAGCATCAACAGCATAGGAACGAGTGAAGCTTCAGGAGAAAACAGCGAGAAAGTATTGCCTCTATAACGGCCATAGGAGGTTAGATAGGTCAAGAGGAACTAGGTCTTAATAGGATAACTGTTTGGTTTATCTGGCTGCATTTCAACTCTTGCATCTTCTCTGTAGAGATGTGCTAATGTTTGCCTGACAGTCTGTTTTTGATGAAGCTTGTTAACATCATTTTAACCTCTCTTGTTTGTCTTTCCCATCATTCTTTGTTGTGTTTGTTCTTACTAATACAAACCTATAAATGCTGATTTTTTTTTTTTGCCACCAAATTCCTGCTCTTATAAATGTTTCTCTCGGCTGCAGCGAGCGACCCTCGAAGACTTCGTCTCCAGCTCACAGCGCACACAGCTCAGGTTAGCATCTCGATCATTATTCTCCTCTATTTCATTACTGTTGTTCCTCCTAAGCGCCTCTGTGTCCTGAAGACACGCCCACACACCGGAGTCCACCAACAGTCTGCAATGAACATGAAAGTAGGGCTTCTTCCCCTGTACACCCAGTTTAATAGAGCAGAGCTAACACAAGCTCCTTAAAGCGCTACTTAAAACAAGACGCTATTACTCCTTATCCTGCCAAGATCTCTGCTCTCTAGGGGTCTGTGGCCAGATCAACGCTTGATTTAAAAAAAGACCTGCAACCTCCCCACGAGCAGAACGAACACACAACATTATTCACGGAGCTAATCTCTCTTCTCGTGACACGCTTAATGTGTAGCTTTCACAGAGATTTACTTCTTGTCATGTGCTTGGAGCAATCTCCAAAATATCATAACAGTTACAGTGAGGGCTTTGATTCCTCCTGACATCAAACATGATGGACACTGTGTCCCTGCACACTCGCAGCAGTGTTCACTGTAACCTGTCCTTCAGGTCTAGGCAGCTGTCAGGGACTTTGTAAGGAATATGTTGTGAAAAGAGTTTTGGGATTACGAAGACAAAAGATTGTTCTTTTACTACACCAACAGAGGGAGAGTCAGGGGAGCTTAGAGTGCTTTCTGAACATGCCCTGACCTTTTCTGTAACTCACTTTACTTACTTTAATGGACCACATGTTTCTAAAGTCAACGGATTGGTTCTCTCAAATTACAAAACAAATATTTTGACGCCACTATAAGCCAAGCACGTAGTATTGGTTGCACGCTGAATGACTTTTCATTTGTGGTTCTCACAGCATTGAAAGCTATAGTGTGTTGTATACAGTAGGTTTGTGTGCATGTAAATGGTGTGCAATGGCTACAATCCCCAAGGTTCTTTATTGTCAAACTAACATAGCTACCGAGTAATTATGTCGTTGAAAATCTTAGGTCACAGGCTTCTCCAACACAATAATACAGATAAGCAGACAATATTAAAACAAAATTAAAATATACTATATTAAAAGTAATCCAAAAAGAAAAATAGTGGAATAGTGACATACGAGTCTATATACAAGTTATTGGAATGATATATTAGATAATAGATAAATAATTACTAAGTAGCAGATGAATGTTATGAACAGTCTTATTGCCTGCGGGATGAAGCTGTCTCTGAATCTGGTTGTTTTTGTCCGGATGCTGTCCCTTGTTCCCTTCATGCTTTTTGAACATTAAAGCTTGGAAACATGTCACAGTAGAAGCACTAACGAACCTGAAAACACACATAATATGTTCTCTCTAAATTAAATTTGTCCGTTTAGGGATGCTCACCCAAAAGCACAAATATCGCTCGCTAGGTTTCCATGGTTTCAACTTCTCCTCCATCTCTAGCGAAGAATCGGACGACGGCATCTCAGAGGTGCAGCCAATATATACGTGCGCTTATTGAGCAGGAGGAAAAACACAGCCTCAGAGAGTTCAGGCAATCATTACCGAACATTAGGATTACTCCGAGCCGAGTGTTGCCAGGGAGAATGTGTTTGCAGACATGCGGGATCTAACCAGTCATTTGTCAAGTGAAGTCAGACAGAGTGAGGGTTTGGAAACTCCCCTCCCCCCTCAGGGAGGACATCTTTCTTCTTTTATCGTTTCAGTTTTCTTAAGTAAAAAGCTTTGTTTGTCCCCCATGCAGGCGGTTCCCCTGTCTTGGCTCCAAAGAGCGGCGCTTCTCCATCTAACAGGAGCCCGGTTCCCATCAAAGTCAACCTCCTGCAGTTCAGGAAGAATGTTTCTGACCTCAGGATGCAACTCCATCAGATGAGACAGCAACAGGCAAGACCTCTTTCTGCTTTTAATACATTTCCAAGTGTGTCAGTTGCAGGTTTATGGAGTAAAGGACGACAGGATTACGGAAAAAGCAAACCCTTCCGGCCCGTCCACACAGCGGCGTGCGTTGTCGCTTGCCGGCGGGCGTGTCTGCAACTCGACCAACAACCACTCACATGAATCTCCCGCCCCCGACACACAAGCAGCGGTTTGATTGGCTAGAGCTTGTACTGGCATATGATTCGATTGGCTGACGCTTCTGCCGAGGCGTCAAAAGTTGAACATTGCTCAACTTTTGCAGCGAGCCACGCCAGCAAAGCTCCGCGTCGCTTCCCACAATGCAGTTTGGCGAAAAGTGACGTCACCCAATTCAAAGTGAATGGTGAAGCTTTATCGGCCCGTCCACACAGCGGCTTTGGAAAAAGCTTGCCGGCGGGCGTGTCTGAAGTTCGACCAACAACCAATCACATGAATCTCCCGCCCCTGACACACAAGCAGCGGTTTGATTGGCTAGAGCTTGTACTGGCATATGATTTGATTGGCTGACGCTTCCACCGAAAGCTTCAGAAGTTTCAAAAGTTGAACATTGCTCAACTTTTGCAGCCTGAAACGCCAGGAAAGCTCCGCTCTGCTTCCCACAATGCAGTTTGGCGAAAAGTGACCCCATTCAAAGTGAATGGTGAAGCTTTCAACGCACGCCGCTGTGTGGACGGGCCGTTACAGTACTCCCTTCTTTACTCTTGGATTTATTTGCATTGCATTTGATATTAAGGTCCATAAGTAACGGAAAGTAATCAGGTTACTTCCCCCCCAGGCTCTATATGTTGAGTGGTAGATCATGTCTTTCTAATATCTCTTTCCCACTGTCTTCACCCCCTCAGCTCCAGAACCAGGAGGCACTACGGGTCCAGCTGAGGCGCGCCGAGCAGGAAATCAGTGTGAAACTTGCCGAGGCCATGCGGGGTCTGGAGGATCCGGTGCAGAGGCAGAGAGCGCTGGTAGAAGAAGACCGGCACAAGTACCTGGGCCTGGAGGAGCGAGTGCTCTCACAACTCGGGTACGTTTGCTCAAATCCCCCTTAGCCGTGTTTTATATAAATAAACACAGCTGTTTCAAAGTCAACTTAATTGTCAATCTGTCAGTTTGTGTGTACAGACAGAGAGATCGAAATACTGTTTCCCACAATCCAGAATAAAAAACTACGAATATATATATATAAAAACATGTATACAAATAGGTATAGGCTATCCTATATATACATACATATACATTGAGACATAAATAAAAGCACAACAATCAATATATACAAAATAACAGTCACTTCAATAAATGTACATTAGTTCAAGACTGTCCATAGCAGCGTGAAAAGTGTAGTTTGCGTCCATTACCGAATGCTTATTGTTGTAATTATTAGAGATGATTTAGTAAACCCACGTCAAGGTGTTTCGTTTTATAGGAAATCCCCAAAAGGCTTAATTTCAGCAGTTTACCTGTGTCTCTGTCTGAGAAGCCAACGCCCTGCGAACGACAGGTTCATACAGGAGAGCACAGTCTCTACCCTGCTCTTACTTTCATTCTCTCGCGTCACGTTGCCAGCAGGGAGCTTATTTTTATTTACATGCTAGGTCAAACAGTGTTGTGTTGCTAGACAGTGGTGAACATATGCTCCAATAAACACTGTGTGCTCGTGGATTCTGAGGAATGAACAGGCGGAAGTCGTGGATTCAATTCTCGATTAATCTTGGTATTCAGCCAGCTGTGAGTCAGCAGAATAAGATGGACTTTTATTAATCCCTCGTGGGGAAATTGTTTCTTTGCATTTGACCCATCCTAGTGTTAGGAGCAGTGTGCTGCCTTGAACGGCGCCCGGGGAGCCGTGTACGGCTTGGCTTTAACACCAGTGGGAGGAGGTGTTGTGAAAAACCACTGCGCAGTATATCAATCATGACCTGTAGCGGCACATTTCTGTCGTAACAACAAAAAGGATTAGTAGTTTAAAGGTCCCATGTCACGGCCATTTCTACTGATCATAATTCCATTGTTGAGGTCGACTAGAATAGATTTACATTGTTCAATGTTCCAAACTCACATTGGTTTCTCACAGCATCTCTGTAAAGTCTGTGTATTCCTTCTCTGTCCTACACGGCTTGTTGGAGCCCCTCCCCCTTCCCGTGAGTGTGCTCTGATTGGTCGGGACGTTGCGAGGCTCGCTGCTCAGTGAGCTGGCTTACTGGTGTGGTTTCCGGGTCGGCGACACAACGAGACGGCGCGAAACTCATCCTGTTCACACACACTCTCACACACACACACACACACACACACACACACACACACACACACACACACACACACACACACACACACACACACACTCACAGCCGAAGTAAAAACAATAAGTGTGGCTTGATATTGAGAAAGAAAAAGGTTTCTAACGCTGTGAGAATGGGTCTGCGGAGAGCATTTCTCCACGACCCCAACTCGTCTATTACCAACCAGGGAGCTCTATGCAAGTCAATGGGACTCCCTGTTAGTTAGCCAAGGGTCCTGGTGTGTGAGGAGCTCCGCGGATTGGTCCATTTGTTTCTTCCGGGAACCGCATGACGTCACTTGGTTCCCGGAAGAAACAAATGGAAAAAGAGAAATGTCCAACGAGGCGTTCTGGGGCAGCACAGACAGGTCTTTCTGTGTTAGAGTTTTACTCGCTACAGGGTGCACTTTGAGGGTTTGTGACTCTGCAGACCGTTCACATGCAGAAAAACCTTCGGGTAAGCATGACATGGGACCTTTAAATAATGAAACTGCAGTTTCCGTATAATCCAAGGACAGAACATACTTTAAAAAGTGAGGGGGTAGTAGGATGGATAATCATTTTGTGGGTGATAGACGAGAGCCAAAATACATGTCTTCTTCTGCCGTTCCCTTTAGTGTTGACTTCCTGAAAACGGACGTTGTTGTCCACAGCGGACGTTAAATCATCCAGACTTTTTTTCTCCTTAGCAACGGTCTGTTAGAGGAAAATTATCAACCTCTGGAATGTCGTAATTGTCCAATCAGAGTTGAGTATTCAACTAAGCCGTGTAATCTTAAGTATTTCATGAGGGTTTCTGGAAATGCTGACTCACAAAGACAGACGTACTGTATCTGTTTTTGTCTGAGAGAGGTTTGTTAAAAAACTGTTTTCCTTTTGTTCTCATCTGGAATTTCCCATCATCCTTTTTATCACCAACAAGCCTTGGCATAGCAGGGCATTTCACACTCTTATTACTTTTCCCATTCCCGTTAGGAGGAGTTGTATAAAAGAGTGTTTCTCAAGGGTTACACGGCCACAATGAAACACCATCCAACCCTGCACACAATGTTATCATTCAGCATGTGGAGTCGCCATCTTCCTCTGTGAGGAAATAAACTCATATTCAGTGTGTAAACAGTCACGGTTGTGGGATTACATCCAATCTAGACTAAGCAATCCACAGTACATACACAGGAAAGGGTTCAGTGGGAATGCGTATTGTCTGTGGTGATCCTTGAACTATTTAAAATATGATTTACTTTCTTAGTTTTGAATGGATCTTGTCCCGAGGTCTGCTTTGTAGCCTTTATTTAACCAGGTGAAGCCCCTTGAGATCAAAACATCTCTTTTTCAAGGGTGACCTGCAGGACATTAGTTACACATGTAACATAGAAACAACAGAACAACAATAAGGATGACATACAACATAATGTACAGGGTACAGTTTACAAACTCTATTTACAGAGACAGGTACCATGAGTATCAAAAAGCATGTCACGCAGCCGAGTTTTAAAATGATGCAGGGGAACCAAAGGGCTCAGTTTGAAACATGTTTCAACTAAAAGCTTTCTTCCCTAAGACAGTCCTAGCACTTGGCACATTTAATAAAACAACATCATGAGATCTCAGGCAATATGTACTTTCAATTCGTCGAGAGATCAGAGAGCAGATATAAAAAGGTAGTTTACCCAGCATGGCTTTGTAAATGAACACGTACCAATGACTGAGCCTCCTAGTGAAGGCAGACCTTTGCTTTCACCTTTGTCCCATCAGTTTCACCACATGGCCTTTTAGAATAGATACATGATGGTGTCCTGCCCCCTGGTGTTTGTAAATGTAAATACACTTAGAAGTAGTGTGAAAATGTCAGAATAACAGGAACATATATATATTAAAACATTTAATCATGGTTTTCCTTTCCTATTGTTTTCTGCAGTTACTGTTTCTGCTTTCAAGAGACCCTTTTTTGCTATTTACTGACAACTTGTCGTGTGCTTCATGCTCTCAAATCTAACAGTTGTTGTCCTTATTCATTGTGTGTTGTCCTGCAGAGATCTGGAGCAGTACGTGGGCTCTCTGCAGAACGACTCGGCGGCGGCGGCACAGAGAGTCGTGACCATGAAGGACGTGGAGGAGGGAGCCGTGACTCTGAGGAAGGTGGGAGAGTCTCTGGCTGGGCTCAAAGGTAAGACAACAACTAATATGAAGGATGTATGTATCAAATGTGGATAGAGAATCAAACTGTCGTATTTTATGTCTTGCAAGAAAGTTCAGTCAGTCACACAGAGAGCGTACAGTCTGCAGAGTGAAGGACCAAGAGTAGGATATTTAAACACAGAGAGAGGAGAAAGGGAGGGGTACAGCTTGGTGATAATGAAGGGGCATTCTGGAAGTTTAGGGAGTTAGGGAGGCCGTATCTATATTGAAGGTCATACGGTTGGTGCACATAGAGTGTAACTAACAACACTGCAACAAATCTTCTTAATAAGGAATGTTCCCAAGCTTAGCTAAGAAGTGTGAGAAGTAGTAAATATAGATAAACATTAGCAAATACGAATCACACAATTATATAAACTGTACACCCCAGCACGTCGTGCACTCCGCTCTGCATCAACCAAACGACTCGTTGCGCCCTCGCTGCGAAGGGGACCCAAGTTCCCATCAGCAAAAACACGTGGGTTTGCTATCCTGGCTCCAAGATGGTGGAATGAGCTCCCCATTGACATCAGGACAGCAGATAGCTTACACACCTTCCGGGGCAGACTGAAAACTCATCTCTTTCGACTCCACTTCGAGCGATAGAACTATTAACAAAGCACTTATATACTAATAAAGGACTGGCTTATCTAAAGCCAGTTGAGTAGCACTTGAGATGTTTAGCTCTATGAAACCTGATGTACTTTATGATTCTGTTTTCCTCAAGTTTGTATCTTGTTGGTCGAACGCACTTACTGTAAGTCGCTTTGGATAAAGGCGTCAGCTAAATGCAATGTAATGTTATATTATTAAAGTAAGTGAGTGAGTACAATATTTTGCCAATCGGGCTGGGGTATATCCAAATAGTTTTCCTGCTATATATTAACATTAAAATACAGTATATCATCAGATGTTAAATGTATGCAAAGACACAGTCGAATAGTGAAAGCATGAAAGTATTTTCCACTTTTATGGTTAACATACGACCACATGTTCACATGCCTGTATGATAACAAAGACTTTAATTAACACATTTTAGTAGCTGTTAATTAAAGATACCTCTAAATTGTCGAGACAGGTAAGGCAACAACTAATATTAATAAGACTCGGTACAATATTATATACATTACATTGCATTTAGCTGACGCTTTTATCCAAAGCGATAAGCTTGTATAATGTATAATATACAAGCCAATAGGACTGGGGAATAATGAAATAATGTTCGGGCTGAATTACCCCTAAAAACAGTATATCATCAGATGTTAAATGTATGCAAAGACACCGAATAGTTAACCCATTAAAGTATTTTCCACTTTTATAACAAACATACGACCACATTTTAATATGCATGTATGATCCAATCCAATCCAACTTTATTTATATAGCACTTTAAAACCTTCAGACCAAAGTGCTGTACAGAGAGATAAGCTCACAAAACATAAAATAAATACATTTAAAATACAAGATACAAACACAAAACAAACCAGAATAAACGTAATAATTAAATAATTAAAAACAGCCATATAATAAAAACAATAGCCCACTGAAAGCAAATAAAAGCAACAATCTACTTGTTTCTGAATGCTAAGGAGAAGAGGTGGGTTTTAAGACGGGATTTAAAAGCAGACGGTGTGGGAGCCTGTCTGATGAGCAAGGGCAGGTCGTTCCACAGGTTAGGGGCGGCAGCAGAGAAAGCACGGTCCCCTCTGCGCTTAGACTTTGTTTTTGGCACCCTCAGGAGCAGCTGATCAGCTGACCTGAGGGTGCGAGTTGGCGTGTAGCTGTGTAACAGCTCAGAGAGGTAGGGCGGGGCCATTGAGGGCTTTAAAAGTAAATAAAAGAGTTTTAAAATGAATCCTCGAATGAACGGGCAGCCGGTGGAGCGAAGATAAAATGGGGAAATGTGCTCGTGTTTGCGTGTGCCAGTTAGTAGCCGTGCTGCTGCGTTTTGCACCATCTGCAGGCGAGTAAGGGAGGATGCACTTATCCCCATATATAGGGCATTACAATAATCCAAGCGGGAGGTGACGAAGGCATGGATTACCGTTTCAAAGAGGTCACTATTTAAAAAAGGCTTTATTTTGGCTAGCTGCCTGAGGTGGAAGAAGCTGTTTTTAACAACTGCCTTGATGATAACAAAGACTTTAATTAACACATTTTAGTAGCTTTTAATTAAAGATACCTCTAAATTGTTGAGACAGAGACATAGTAAGAGAATGCATGGATTTACAAACAAAAATAAATATGTATTCATGTGTAAAACCTACCATAAAAGTGTATTTTCTTTAAAGTTAGTCGTGTAATATACCCATATAGACGATGTTTTCCCGTGTGTGTCCTCAGGAGAGTTTCCATCCCTGCAGACCAGGATGCGCTCGGTGCTCAGGGTGGAGGTGGATGCGGTGAAGTTTCTGAAGGAGGAGCCTCACAAACTGGACAGCATGCTGAAGAGAGTCAAGAGCCTGACCGACACACTCAGCGGTCTGAGGAGGTGAGACACATATCAGTGGAGACGAAGTAGGGATCAGAAAAAGAGTCAGAGGGGATTGAAGAGAATCTGCTGCTCACGGGTTTCTATGATATCCAGATTGTTCTATTTGATTGTACCGCCTTCATCCCATCAAAGGGTCACTCCACGTGGACGGAGGAGCTTCACTGAACCGATAAGAGAATTACATTTGGGGACACTGCAGCGCTTCATTTCCATTTTAATACGACACAGAAACTAGTTCACTCTTGACTTTTCTCCCACTCTCCCTCCAAGTCTTTGACCTAGTTTTATCTTTTGGAGTTTTTTTACCCCATGGTGTTCAGTGTTTCCCATACATTGATTTATTTGTGGCCGCCACAATTAAATATCGTCCGCCACAAATGGATCTCAAAATAATTTATGGTGGTCTAATGGATAGTGAGGAGGGCTGATGATCGGAAGGTTGCGAGTTCAAATCACGCCTGTAACACCACCACTTGTGTGCCCTTGAGTAAGGCACTTAGCCCTTAGTTACTCCAGGGAGAATGTCCCTGTAATCGGTCATTGTAAGTCGCTTTGTAAGTCTGCTAAATGCCTAAATTGTAAATTATATTTCTGGGAGAATAAACCCCACAGATCCTCAACTCCGGTGTGTCTCACTCATTAACAACGCAACACAGAGCAACAAGAACGTTGTCTACAGTAGCCATGAACTCGCATGTATTATCTTATTTGAGGGCGGGGTGGATGCGTGGACCACCCGAATAGGTTAAGGGACCTTTGACTTTTCTTGCCCACAAATAGAATCAAATTCTGTGGGAAACACTGGAGAAAAGACCATGAATACAAACGTAGGTGGACAAAAATATTTCTATCATTGTAGTGCATTCATTTATTAGTAAATGACCGAGTGGAAGAATATACCCTATCGTGCTTTTTGGGGGTTTCCCTTTCCTGTAGTGTGCTATAAAGGTTTTTGTGCATGTGTATGGTCTGTAAACCCCATACAAGGTAGACTGGGCTGTGGTTTCAGACAGAGGGTGAAAAGAGGTGCTGCAGCACAGGCAGTATGAGAAAAATAAAGAGCTTTTTGAACATTAAAGCATGGGAAACGTCAGTAGAGGCATAACGTACAAATATGAACCTGAAAATCTGCACAATGTCCTCTGTAATGTTTTGCATCACATTCTGTTTCCCCTCCTCTCCAGATGTGCTTCTGAGGGCTCTCAGAAAGGACCCAGTCCCTCTCCTAGCGTCCCCGTGGAGGCCAGCCCTTCAGCAGCGGCCCCTGCAGAGCCTCTGGAGCCCCAGAGCTCCACCATCAAATCTGAGGTGATGCCTTCCTCCCCGGTGATCATCCATCACGTGCAGAGCTCCCCGGTTCTGATCCAGCAGTCCCAGCAGTCTGCAGCCCTGACAGCTCAGCCCAGTCCTCCTCTCACCCCCAGCCCCTCTCACACCCCCAGTCCCATCCCGGGCAAGAGCCAGGGCAGGGAGTCTCCCAAAGGGGCCGCCTCGGATCCACCGAGTCCCGCCCGTCTTAAGAAGACTCGAGGGAACCCGGTGAATAACGGAAACGGCCCTACCAGCCCGGGATTCGTCATTGAGGAGCTGCAGAACAGCCAGGGCAAGAACAAGAGCAGAGCCGTTTCCATAGAGGTACTTTAATCACCTTATTGTTGTCATTGGGTCTTTATTTATTTACTTCCAACATTGTAAAGCTGTCATTTGTAAAGACTCTCAAACCCTACAGTTCCTTATTTCTCCGCTTGATCAGATTTAGAGAACGTTTAAAGGTGGGGTAGGTCATTTTGGAGAAACCAGCTCGAGTGCGCTAGAATTTGAAAATACACAACCGGAAAAAATCTGCCTCTTCCTTCAGACTTCCTCACAGAGCACCTCCTCCAACACACACATGACCAATGAGGGCACGAGATAAGTTTGTTTCCCCCGATGGAAGGCTGACAGGCAGGTAGGCCATCTAGTTATTTTAGCCGGCTCAGATGATTGGTCGTGCTTTTTACAGTACCACGGCTTCAACAGGTGATATTTATTTATGTATTTTTTGTCAAAGCACTTCAAATATTCATTGCTATCGGGATGTTAAGAGCATTCCATGGAATATAACAACAAGTGTATCTCGAGCCGGTTTCTCAAACTTACCCCACCTTTAAGGAACTTTCTCTCCTCACATGTATTTATTGATTTTTTACATTTATCACATTACACAAACACAATTGAACATTACCCAACATTAGACATATGGCAGATTACAAAATAATGCTACAAATAAAAAGTGTGCAGTTATTAGACATCAGTTTAAAGTACAGACCAAGAATATAATTACATTTGCAAATGAACAAATTCAACACAAATACAATAAAAGCACATCCACGAACGGAGCAGAGTTACAATTCTCCAAATAGATTAACCATACTTCCATCGCTTCTGCAATGTCCCCGTTTTATATACATTCCAAAAACAATTCCCAAATGGTGTAAAATCCAGAATCTTTCTTCCCTACTATATATGTGAGTTTCTCAAGAGCCAGACTCAAAGTTAAATTGTTTAACCAACATGTTCCCAACACAAAGCAATTGAGCGCCTGGCTTGTAGAAGGCAAAGGTTAACCATTTGTCTTTCCCTAACTTTCTCTCCTTTTCATTTCCACTCTACAGGCAGCAGAGAAGGAGTGGGAGGAGCGGAGGCAGAACATGGGTCACTACGATGGGAAAGAGTTTGAGAAGATCCTCCTGGAGGCGCAGGCCAACATGATGAAGGGCATCCCCAGTCTGGAGGTGGAGGAGAACCAGGCTCTGCCCCCCACTGCCGCCGCAGAACCAGCAGACACCCCCAACCCTGTGGAGTCCCCAACAGGTACATATCTAACACAGAGGCCCTATTCTGCTTTTTGGGGGGTGTCGCTTTCCTGTATTGTGTTATATTGTGGGGTTTTGTGCATGTAAATGGTCTGCAAAGGCAAACATCCTTCTTTCCAGATGGGGTTGTCTCCCATGTGCAACATAATATGGCCCCTTTAAAGGCACAGTTTACCCCCAAAATACATTTTATTCCTCTTACCTATCATGCTTTTAAACAATCCATTTATGTGTGACTCGCTCAAGTGCTGGACATATGAAGCTATGGATTTGTCCCGAATATAAAGGAACTAGATCTATTAAAACAACTCGGCAACCTTTTTCCAGGATTCATTAAAGGTTATTCAAGATACTCCTCTGACAGAAATAGGCATTGCCTGAATGTATTGCTGTATGAACACATTTTAAAGTGTCTCCTCTTATATAATGACTTGTTTTGTAATGCAGAAGAGCTCCAGTCTCAGCCTGACAAACTGGAGAAGAAGGCTCCTGAGAAACTCCCGAAGCCTGTGATGGAGAAACCAGGCAAACCTGCTCTGGAGACACCCCCGAAGACCGCCGCCAAGCCGGCGTCCCCGGACAGTTTTACAACAAAGCAGGGGGGTGAGAGGACCAGCAAATCTCCCCCACCACCTCCCCCCCCCAGGAAGACCTTCTCCCCCAGCTCCAGCTCAGGCATGACCACCACTCGCTCCGGAGAGGTGGTCTACACCAGCAGGAGGGATTCCGTCTCTGCACAGGTCAGTAATCCTTCCCTGAGTTTCCTGTCACTCAGAAGCCTTTTAAACAGACTTTCTAACGCATCTGGCTTCTGGTGATGTGTTTTAAGGCTGAGGTTTAGCTAAGGCTTTTACAAAAGTCGATCAAATCAAAACAGAAGAGGCAAATAAAATTATATACAAACTTAGATCGTCTTTCTTTCTATTGTGTTGCACGTTATATCATTTAAAACCTGTGTCCCTACGGCGTCTTCCACACAGGTTGCCCATCTCTGTGTCTCCTAAAAGCTGGATTTGTTTAATTTAATAATGTTAATTGGATTAGCAAGTAAATACCACGTTCATGTTTGTGTGCTTAATATAGATTAATAACTACTCTAGGAGCCATATGTTAAAATGTATAATTTGATATATCATGTTATATATATATACTTGAACATTGTAATTCTTTGTTATAAGTGTTGGGGAATAATTCGCCCTGCATGTCCTCCTCCTCCTTCGCCCTCTGACGCAGCTGACCGACCTTGAGCAGCCGCTATCTCCCTTAAGGAGCTCTAGCAAGTTGTTGATGTTGCCAATTTGTGAGCAGGCAGCTCTCGGTCAGAGATAGTATTGTTGTGGGACACCTGGAACACATCCTTCTCAGGGTGGAGATGACCTCGAGCCGTAAGCGACTGTGATTCAGTGTCCTCAGCTGTTTAGTCTCTCTATTGAAGAATGTTGATTATTACACTCTGAACTAGTTCAAACCTGGAGCTACAGGAGGGCTCTTCAGAATTGATGTGGCATCTCAACCGTGTGGTCAGACCACGGTCTGACCACACGGTTGAGATGCCACATCAATCATGCCCGGGACATGTCTCGTGAATTCTCCGGCTGAAGCTCCAAATAAACCGTCAGTGTTTGATATCAAAGCTCCAGCTCTCCTCGTGTCTCTCTGAGTCCTGACTCCAATTGCTTCAGAAGTTTCCCCCACAATAAGTATTATTATATCATTTATTTAAACCAGCCTTTGTAAAAATTGACGTCATATACGACTGCAGCTGGTAATTAGAATGAGAAAAAGAAAAGAATCACGGAGCAATATCGTTTTTTGATCTTTGACAATATGTGTTTGTATAACATTACATGGTTGGAAAAAGTACTCATAAAATAGTTTCCTTCTCATAATTTCCAACAGGAGGGTGAAGAGGACACACCACCTCCCAGCCCCCAACCCAGACCCAACAAGGTTGCTCCAGAGACGAAGCCCAAGCCGGCCACCCCTCCCCCCGTCACTGTTCCCACAGAAGAGGAGGACGAAGGGGAAAAAATCATGGCTGAGCTTCAGGTAAAAAGCATACTTACACTCAAGCATCCACACACACACACACACACACACACACACACACACACACACACACACACACACACACAGTCCCTCAAACATGCAATCAGGACCGATCAATAGGTCTCTGTTTGATTTCTGCACTGCGGGAGTGGGTCTGTCATTTCATCCCCTGGTGGTTCTCGGGAGATACTTCTCGTCCCTCCTCAAAGTTCCCATTTCCCCTTCACTTTTCTCCACTCTTCAGGTGTTCCAGATGTGCACAGTTAAGGATGTAGGGGTGAAACATTTGGTAGAACCCACCTCTCGAATTGATCCGCAAATCAGAGAGCTGAGGCCGTTATTGCCTCTCAAAGAGAAAAAGGTAAAATACTTTTCGCCGTGCAGCCACCCTCCTAACTGCCTGCCTCTGCCCACTGTCTGACACTCGATGGCTGCCTTAACACTTCCACAAACTTCTGCACCCTTGCTTTGGCTCGAGAGAATCCTGTAACAGCTTCCTCCAAAACAAACACTTCCTTTCCTTGCTGCCTCAGTTTCCTTCCCTCTTTTGATTCTGCTGGATATCTCCGCTTGAATATATTTCAGGATTAAGTCTGCATAAAAAAGTGTCCTTTGTGCGCCTTGACCAGACAATGATGTGTGTTGATTTAATTATCAATAAAGACCACGGCACTGTGTTCTGCAGGCAATTCAATCGTCTTGTGTCTTTCTTTAATTACCTCCTTCATGCAAAAACTGATTGGTAATGAGAGAAACGTTAAAGCTCACTTTGCAGACACATCCTGTTTTTGCAGACTTGGTTCACTAGAGGTCAGTCCGGCCACTTTGCATGCTACTCTCCCCCCTTTTTTCCCAGGGATTACTTTTCTGTTTCTCTCTGTCTTTGCACAACTTCACTCCAGTTTGCTCTCCCGGCTTTACACCTACTGTTTATAACCAGCACGATGTGGTGGCAGACAGGTGCAAACACACATGCATGTGTTTTGGCACATTTGTGTTATTTTATGAAACTGCAGTGTGTTTATCCTGATGACGTTTCTTTGGGCTGTTATAGCGCGTCTGCACCTGTCGGCCACCGTCGCACAATCCTGTATTTCTTCACATATAGGGTTAACCTTTGCACATTTAAAATGATTTATTTATTCAATTGATGTATCAAGTGCACATCCAAGTTAGAACATGAGATCTAAAAGTAAGTATAAGTTAAGTGCTACTAGTAATAGATAACAAAACAACAAATGTTGCCTAGCTTATTTAACCTAAGTGTCAGCGTGGTATAAACATGTAGACAGGAAACTAAGTTTATAAGGATTAGTAGACTCTCGATGACGTGAAAGTGCAAAAAAGTACAGGTAGGGATATACTGTAGCCTTCAGAAATAACCTTATTTGGCTGTTATTAAATAAACCGGCTTATAGTCTTAACAGTAATATGTTTACATTTTTCCTGCATGCATTTTGATATACATGCATTTAATACCAGGACAGCATATAAAAGTGACGTCTGATGGTGTATCAGTCTACATACTGTACATATTCTGCTGTATTTTACAAGGTAAAAGCCCAGTGCAGTGCCAATTCTACTGCAAACTCCATATGAGTTCACACTTAACCCTTAGCCACCCTACACACAAGTTGCAGAGTAATATTATTCCCTCACACACTGTCCTAGCAGAGCTCAGAGTCCACACGGGAGGATAAAGATCCCGACACAGATGAAAATGGGAACACTACTCTCCGACAGAGCCAAGGGGTAGGACTCACTTTCTCTTAATAACATTTTATTCAGGTATATGTGCAATATTAAAAGAGATATTAAACAGCTACTCATTCATTTTCCAGGTCATTTACTATGTGACCGGGCAGATTCCCAAAGAGCATCCAACGGTGTCCGGAACGGAGGAGATCCACGAACACCGAGAGACCGCACAGCCTCCATCACAGGTGTCAAATGTCAATGTTAACGACAATTCTCCAAGTCAGCAGCCACTACCGTCTTCACCACCAAAATCTCCTATAACACCTCCACCGATATCCCCCAAACCTGTGGGACTGAAAGGATTCAAACTTCCAAGGAAGCAAATGAAACGCTCCGAGTCCTTGAAGAGCAGCGTAGAAATGGAGAAGGGGAAAATCCTCAACAAAATTAACACTGAAAAGAAAAGTAAATCTATCTTGCAGCATATTTCTTCAAGTAAGAATATAATACCTGAGCCTGTGGCCACAACAACAACCAACACCATTAAGGTGGCGCCAAAAAGTTCACTAAAAAAGGCTCACAGTGAGGATCCGCCTAAAGCAAACTACGTGGATTTTAATGAGGAGGACAGTCTTAGTCCTGACTTACCTGGAGAAGAGGCTCCTCCCCCTCCTGACAACATAGCATTTATGATCACTAACACCAAAGTGCAGGCCCTGTCCTGCGGCGAGTACCAGGACCTGGTCAACGCCAAGAAAGGAAGCGTGCAGACGGTCACTGTAGGTAGCGCTCACAACCGAGGGAACGCCTCAATGGATCCCAATTTCCAACATGACAACCGCTACAACAAGAAGCCCGTCATCATCATTTTTGACGAGCCCATCGACATCCGTTCGGCGTACAAACGTCTGTCTGTCATCTTCGAAGGTGAGGAGGAGCTGGACAGGATGTTAGCGGCCGAGTGCATCGAGGAGGAGAGCGAGGAGTCTGACTCTGAGAAGGGTAGCGGGCGGCAGGCTAAAGCAGGAGGGAGCAAGGTGGTTGACGGCAAAGACGTTAGCGCTTCACAGCTCAATGCTGATCACGTTAGCTTATCATCCTCATCTTCATCGATCTCTGAGCCCGCAGACAGTGGAGTGAACTCAAACGATGACGCCAAGACGGACGGTAAGAAGAAGTTCAAGTTTAAGTTCCCTAAGAAACAGCTGGCGGCGTTTACCCAGGCCATCCGCACCGGCACCAAGTCCGGAAAGAAGACCTTACAGGTGGTGGTGTACGAAGACGAGGAGGAATCAGACGGTACGATCAAGCAGCACAAGGAGGCCAAGAGATTTGAGATCACGCGCTCTAAATCCCTAGCAGAGGCTCACAAGGGCGCAGTGCTGAAGAGGCAGAACTCAGAGTCCCTCTTCAGGACGGACGAGATCCGGAAGAACGCCTACAAGACGATGGACAGCCTGGAGCAGACCATCAAGCAGCTGGAGACCACCATCAGCGAGATGGGGCCGGCCTCCCCCACGGAGGAAACTAACACGGGGAATGGGAACATCTCAGAAGGAGCGGGGCTTAAGAGGTCTTCCTCTCTGCCCACCTCCAGGGGGTCCGGCCCTAAGGTACCCAGCAAAAGCATTCTGGTGAAGAAGACTAAACCCCAGCTGCTCCCTCGCCCTGTTGTCGTCCCTACTACCAGCACCACCACTGTCCCCAGTGAAACTACCGTACAACAGGTCTCTCTCTAGCTCTTATCGGGAGGCTTTGGGTCCTTTTTTTACCTTCACTTAACCCCCGAAATCACAAAATCATTAATCCACTCCAAAGGAAATATCGGAAAATGTCCCCCGTGGCTTTTCCCCTCTGTGAAATCATGGTGACATGATTGGGGGTGGCATTTTGTTGGCTTCCTGGCTTCTCCTTTGCTGAACCTGTGTGGTTTTCAGCGTCATCAAAAACACTCATGATGATTAAGCTCTGATATTTCCCTGACTGCATGTCCTTCTGTGTATTGAGGGTCCCACTGGGTGCATGACCTTTCACTGGTGTAAATCGTTTGAGGTGTTACCTGTCAGTGCCTTGATTTTTCATACTTCCTGTATGGTGTGTGTTTTTTTCTTTCTTTTGTTTTATTTCTTGTTTTTGTTTTTCGTTTGGATCCCCTTGCAGAACACCAGTGTCGCGTCCCCTACTAGTCGGATGCCCGTCCCTTTGTCTGCGAAGTCCAGGCAGTCGCCGGGTACTACTGACAAAGCAGGAAAACCGCAAAAACTGCAGGACGCTCAGAGGCAGTTCCGACAGGTAGTTTTACTGTAGGGCCTTAGGGGAATCAAACATGAGGCATGTATGATTAGAGGAAGACTACCAAAGCTGTGAGATTAAAAAAAAAATAAAGTCACGAACAAAGTGACGACTGTGGATCTGTTAATGTTTCTCTCGCTCTGACAAGAAGGCATGTTTGACTTTTGACTGTTACCCCATAACATCACTGTACTGTAAGCTTCTGCATGTCCACACTGCTCATGGTTTTCACTGTGTTGGTGACTTAAAAAAAAAAAGTGGACGCTGTCATCATCACACCTCCAGTTCCCATCACAGCTGAGCTCCTAAACAGTGTTGCCAAATATCCCAGGATGCTTTTGGCTCTGAAAAACAAACCTAACTGACTTTTCGGCTATGCTCCTTCTCACAATGCACCTTTTTTGCTCAAACCCACCACCACTGCACCGCTTCCTAATAACCTCACGGTGATATATTTCCTCTCCCTCGAGACCACGCCACAACTCACCACCTTGCACCTTCAGTGGAGGCCACGTCTCCCCTGTCTGCTCCCCCTCCTCACCCTGTTATCTAACCCTCTCCAGCCTTCCTATGCACCCCACAGCCCATTTTTACGAGGCCTAACTCTAACAAAGACCCTTCCTATCTGCCATCGCACGGTCTAACTCCTGCAGTGTTTTGGTAACAACTTCAATGTGTCTTCATATAATAACGTAGAAACACAGCCTTCTGTTCATGTTGGTGTCTTTTAGTCTCAGTAATATCATGTGTGTGTAGTATTAGTGTGCTTTGACATGTATCATTTGACCCAGGTTTCCTTTTTTGACGACCAGTCTCTGTTTTGGCATCTCTGTTTGCAGGCTAACGGAAGTGCTAAAAGAGTGGGAGGGGATCATAAAACTACTTCCCCTACTATTCCCACCTCTAAAATCCCTGCTTTTTATCCTAGCTCTCCTAAAGGCAGCCCCCAGTCTGCACCAAACTCAGATGCTACTAATCCCATTAACCCTTCCTCTTCCTCCTCTGCGACAAAGTCCTCCATCCTGTCCTCTCCTCTTCCTCGCTCCGGTTCCCAACCCTCCTCCCACATCCCCTCCCTGTCTAACGGATCCCTCAAACTCCCCTCACAACACACGGGTAAAACTCTTTCGTTCTCCTCGCAGAATGGTCGAGTGCACTCCTCCTCTTCCTCCTCTTCATTCTCATCATCCTCATCCTCCCCCTCCCCTCTGTCGCCCACACCTTTGGGCCCGGGTGGAAAGAGCATCCGCACCATACACACCCCCAGCTTCACCAGCTACAGGGCCCACAACGGCAGCAGCAACGGCAAATCCTGCATCCCAACAGCCACCGCCGCTAAGGACGCTTCCTAGGCCCCGTTTACCGCCCAGTGGTCTGTTAGCAGCTCATAGAGTCCTGATGTGAACCCCCAAATGTTGAGTACTCCAAAGTTTTATCCTTTAAATGTATTGTACGGGTCCCCAGCACATAGAAGCTGCCAGATGCTAGCTTGCAGACGTTGCGTTAAATAGCATTAATTAGCAGCTTATGTTGACAATAGTTAAATAATTAAACGGCTTGGCTCCAACTGTTTTGGAGTCATTTTTGGAATAATTGAGTCCATTTCTGATCTTTTCAGAATCAAACATGCCAGTTTTAACCAGAAAGAGGCAATATTTGTACTCTGTGGGCTGACTTTTATACATTTTGGGTCAATTTTGAAGATTTAGAGGACTCATTTGGATTGAACAGATTGCTTATCTATTTGAATATATAATGATAAATTGTCCACAGTAATGACGTAATCATTTTCATCTTGTGCTCTGTAAATCCAATGGTCACAACTAGGGATGGGTATCGTTAAGGTTTTAACGGTACTACTACTTTTATCGATACCGCTTATCGGTCCGGTCTTTTAACGGTACTCTTATCGGTTCTTTTGGAGAGAAAAAACGAGGTAAACTAACTATATGTTGTATGTCAGGGACTACGAATGGAAATTAGCTCAAAGATAAAATCCGGCATATTTAATAATCTGATGACAGAACTGTAAACAATAGCTGAAACTTTAACAAAATAAATAACTCAGTTTCCTCTAATCATTAACCCATGTTTGTATCATGTAGTTAACTCCGTGTGTTGCTGCTAGCATACAGAACACCTGACGTGGAAACGTTACTCGTGAACTACAGAGCTGCTAGAAAGACAGTGGAACCCGGTGCATTCCTCCGTCTGGATGTGGAGCACTTTTGCTAAATGTTTAGACAAATTGCTCGTGTTGCCGCCCTTACATGCTAAACACTTATTGCACTTTAGGTAACGAGCATCGAGACGGGTAAAGTTTAACCACCTCGGAGCGCGTTCTCTCCGCCATCTCCTCCGTGTGTGTGTTGCTGCATGTAGCAGCTGCGTGTGTGTAAACTGCCCCCTCGCACACAGACGGGGGAGAGAGATCGAAAATACTAAAAATGACGCATTTTGCAGTCTTTTTGCATGTTAGAAACGGAGTTGGCGACACTAAAACTGCAATATAATGTTTGTGTAGCGATAATACATAATACATATTTTTTAAATGTCTCCAGGGGAGCTTAACGGTTCCAGAATTCAGCCCCGGGGCCCGTTTAATACCCGGGCTCGGTATCCATCCCTAGTCACAACACTACTCATATGCTAATTAACACAATTTATGCTAATTGTGCAAATTGTCCAACATATGAAGGTTGGCATCCGGCAGTTTCTATGTTCTAGGGATTCGTACTATACATTTCTATCATTAAACTTTGGGGTTCTCAACATTACCGGGTTCACTCTGCTGGCATCTAGACTACATGTGGCTTTAGCAGGTAGAGCTACTCATGTTTTTATTTTTGCATAGTCATGGTTTGCTGTTTTTGAACATTTTGTATAAAAGTATTAAGTGATGCACTCCCCACTTCCTGTTTTATTTGACACTGGCATTCTCGCACCCATCTCCTTTAGATCTCCAGTTTTTACTGTTAAAGACTATTTTATAACTAATAAAACATTACCACTTTGTAGTAGAAGTGGACGAGTTTAATGGTGTTAAAAAATCTATTTTTCTTGCTGTAGCTCTGAATAGGGAATATAGAGTTGATGTACAATCACCGTGTAAAAAAATGTTGTTTTATTTTTCAAAGCAGAGATTGAATAGTATATTTAATCTGTTTCTTATGTTGCCGGACATTAAACACAGCCCTTGTAAATGCCTTTTTCTGAGTGTATACAGACGCATTGTTAACTTCTATTTTCTAAGAGTATTTTCACCCATATAAACTGCCAATTTATTTTACAGATGGTATCATAAGTAATACAGGTTTTATTTCAGTGTGCCTCTTTGCCAAAGTTGTTGTAAAATGACTCACTTCAGGCCTCACCGGTCACAGGACTCACTCTCCTGTGTGACGCCTGAAGTTTTTAGAGACCTCAGAGTGTTCTGCTGGTCCCGGTTTGTTAAGTTAACATGTCTCGTTGTCTAAATGTACTAAAGTGAATCGGTTCTACCACATGTACATAGAAGCTTCTACTAAGAAAAATAAGTAGTTTTGTTAACATACCAAAGTTTATTTGTATGCATGCCTTTCAAATCCTTTAGGAGAGTGGCGTTAAAAGAAGAATTATGTTTGCACAGATAGATTTTGTAAATATCTGGTTTTCTCTTGTTTTTTTGTAAAGCTTTAAATCATACTATTAAGGAGCAATGTGGTAAAGACAAAAAACTGTGTTGGAGTAGCAAAAATAAAGAACTGCATGCTTGTTATGCACCGAGCGTCAAGGTCTTTATTGGTGTTTCTTGCTTCCTCTGAAATGTGTGGTGTGTATGTAAGCCAAGAGCCAAGGTTACAATTCGTCTTCGCTTAATTCTGCTCGATGACAGGTATTCACGATCATGTGGGATACGCACTCTGTGTTCTTCAGGTCTCAGCCCAGATAGCCTCGGGTTTCATTTGTAGATCTGATGCTTCACACGCCCTACTCTCCGGGATGCTCTGCAGGGCGTCAGTGTCTCAGACAGTTAATACACGATGGCATAACACCAGCCAGAGCCACAGGCACACTTGCTTGATGTTTACAATATAAAAAAAATAATGCTACATGTTGTTTTGTGACATGAATCCCCTTTAACTGACCCTCAGTGTATCGTCTATCCTTCATGTTGCTTACTTGGTATTCTTGGTTACTTCGAACAAGCAGTGAGTCATGCACACTGCAGTGTTTGCAAAACACTTATCTGTAGGACATGTCAACTGTGTCTTCCTGTTAGCGTTGTGATGACAGCAGCTTGGTGACGGGCAGAAATACCGCTTTAGGGGTTTTTGTGTGTGTGTGTGTGTGTGTGAACTGTGTGTGTGTGTGTGAACTGTGTGTGTGTGTGTGAACTGTGTGTGTGTGTGAACTGTGTTCCTGTGCAAGTTTTTGACAGGTGCTAACAGGTTAGTTTGCCGGTGGGCTGCCTTGAAGAAAGGTATGCAATCAGATGTGGACATTCAGGCTCTGTTGTCAGGAATACAGTCAATTAAGTTGAGTTTTAAAGAATTCACTGCCAAGGATGTTGCAATGGCTGGTCTAGGGTTGGACACTTTACAATATAATTGTTTATCTATTTCTGATCACCTTTCTTGATTCAGACAGAGATATTTCTTGCATTTGCTCCAGACATTAAGTAAGTAAGTACAACTTTATTTATATAGCACCCTTCTCAACACGGATGTACAAAGTGCTTTACAGTACAGAACACAGGACACAATTACAAGTACAACTATAAAATGTAGAATAAAAGGCATAAAACAGCAGCAGGTAATACATAGGATAAAACATACGACAAAACACCAATAAAAAAGACAGCCACTAACTCACCTCCTCCGACGACCCAAAGGCCTGTCGGAACAGGTGTGTCTTTAACTGCCCCTTAAATCTCTATTGAGGCCGAGGTTTTTATTATCTGGGGGAGTTTGTTCCAAAGCCTTGGGGCCACCACCTCAAAGGCACGGTCACCCTTAGTCTTTAGCCTGGTTCGGGGCACCCTTAGGAGGCCTTGCTCAGAGGACCTCAGGGCCCGGGTTGTGATGTGCGGGTGGATAAGGTCATTGATGTAGGCTTGGTCATGGACAGCTCTATATGTGAAGACCACATTGCGACTAACATGCTTGTTGAAGTGGTGGAAAGTTGTTTAAGTGTTGTGCTTTTCATTTTCATGCAAGTACTTATAACTATATATTACTTATAATGGAGTATTTTTCCATTGCAGTATTAGTACGTTTTCTTTAATAAAGGATCTGAATACTTCTTCCACCCCTGGCGCTTTTGTTTTGAACCAGTTCTCAGCTGTTGACGGCCCACATGTTGAACATGTTGCGTTTGTTCTGAAAAGACAACATGCCATGCCACTCTTGAAATTGAAAGCACATCATTGAATGCATTGAAAAGTACAACATGTGTTTTGTGTCATTTCAGAAGTATATTTTTCTCGTCTTTTTACACTTGATCTATAGTGGGCTAACTGTCCTGCTTCAAGCATCAAAGTCAATCTTGCACAACATGTTGTTTTTCAAAATGGCAAAGCTTTATGGGGAAAACTAGGTTGTCATTTCCGTAAAAAAAGGAACATTGGTGTGTGTGTGTGTGTGTGTGTGTGTTTGTTTGTGTGTGTGTGTGTGTGTGTGTGTGTGTGTGTGTGTGTGTGTGTGTGTGTGTGTGTGTGTGTGTGTGTGTGTGTGTGTGTGTGTGTGTGTGTGTGTGTGTGTGTGTGTGTGTCATAACAGAGTAGTTCTCACTTCCACCTTACCTGACTATTCCTACATGAGTGATTAGTGAGAAGAAGACATTCGCTATCCATCATTCAAGGTAAGAATATTAATATAATATAGATTAAATAAACTATTATTGATGAAATGCTTGAGGGCTAAGAGTTTAAGGCATACAGGTTGAAAAGAGTTGCTTGGAGACATGTCACAGTAGAGACACTAAATACTAATATACACCTGAAAATGACATAAAAAGGTCTTTAATTGAAAGCGGAGGTAAAAAGAAAAGAGATTCAAGTCTGAATTTTGTTTTTCACGCACGTACACAATTGTGGGGAAGACTTGAATACATATATTTAATATTTCTGTAATGAATTTATATTTTTAAATAAAGGTTATATGCATCAATTATTTGACCAACTATAACTAACTACTATATCATAAAAATACCAATAGCATTCATTGTAAACTAGGACGTGGTGTCTTCTGCATCTCTTACTGTACCTGCGGCTTTCACACATACGTTGCATGTGTTTTTTTACATTTTCTCACACATCATACGAGCCATCTTTATGTCATGCAAAGGTTTTGAGTTGTGTTTTGATGAGAGACTGTCGTCATGACAGGTTGTTCATGTGTCTACGCTGCAACAGGCCGACCCTCTCCACAATGAACATCTCTGAGGGGGAGACACAGAGCTTCTTTGGCAGTGACTCCCACCATGAGAACATTATATTTGCCACTTTTTACATCCTGATTTTCCTCATTGCTGTGCCTGGGAATGCCTTGGCGCTGTGGGCCTTCTTCCGTCAGCACAGCAAATCTCCATCTAAGGTCTTCCTGAGGCACCTCTCTGTGGCAGACATCTCCTACATCCTCATTTTACCCATGCGTATAGTTTACCACCTGTTCGACAGCCACTGGCCTTTCGGACACGTCATCTGTCAGCTAGCAGGCTTCCTCTTTTACCTCAACATGTACTGCAGCCTGTACCTCATGAGCTTCATCAGCCTGCACAGGTTTCTGGCTGTCGTTCTTCCTATAAAATCTCAGTCAGTCAGGAAGGTTTTGTACGCAAAGGTAGCTGTGGGGATACTTTGGGTGACTGTTATTGTGTCTATGAGTCCTACACTTTTCTCTAAAAGGGATGTGAGGAACAACTCAACTGGGTCATGCAACAAGCTGTACTTAGAGAAGACTTCCCCCACTGCTTTAGTGTCAACCGTCGTGGCCTTTGTGATTCCCCTCACCACCATAGTGGTTTCCTACATACTGATTCTGCTGAAACTGAGGGCAATAAAGCAAAAGGAGGAACGGCCGGTGAAGAGCAAAGCCATAAGAATGATCGTCCTGATTGTCATGAACTTCCTGTTTGCGTTTGTGCCCTACCATGTGAGCAGGGTGGTCTATATTGAAATGCACATGCATGGTAATCTGACTGCAGCAAGCCATGAGTCGCTGGGAAGAGCCAATCGGATCACATCTGCACTCACCTGTGTTAGTGGGGTCCTGGATCCCGTCATGTACTTCTTCCTGAACCGAGTTTACAGGGACAAACTGCTGCAGCTGTTCTGTAAACCATGAAGATGATCAATAAACAACTATGTTATGTACATAATAAATATTTGTATGAAAAAAGTGTGCTGTTCTTTGTGCAATTGGCTAAGGACACAAACGATGAACTTCCACTTTAGTTTATATGCAAGGCCATAAATAAATACTTGTGAAACTGTGATTATTTCTACCTTTAGATCATAACACTTTTTTGAGGAAGTTAAAAGATATGCAGACAATTTACTGCACATGAAACAATTATATTTTATCAAGGTATTTCATTTCTTAAAAATATGACACCAACACATGTTTTTAAATATATAATAAATAATATATAAATAATAATAAGCTAGCGTTAATACATTATTTAGTAGGTGGGCTCTGCATACTTGTCACACTTCAAGATCCCTTTTCTTTACTTTTTTTGTATTTTAATGGTTGTTTTAAAAACGATGCACGAAATGAAACGTTACAAATATATTATTCTATTGTGTGTTGCATGCATTTTTCTTTTTTCATAATTGAAGGGGTTTTAAAAAGTAAAGAAACTCAATATTAAATACACAAATGTTACCTTGTAACGTGCTTCTTGGTCAGTCGTGGGATGACTATACCCAAAATGTTCTCCTCCTTGAACTAATGTCATTATGAAAATACTGTATTTTACTGTTAAAGGGCTCTGTATCCTGTAACTCAATGGGTTAGGGGTGGTGGGATTGAAATGAAGTTTTTGATTTGTCAACATGTGTATATCTTTACTGAATCTGTATCACTTGCTTTTGTTCAATATCAATCATCAATAAAAATATTTACCATAATGAAAATACACAAAAATGACGTTTCACCTCCTGAAACTTGTCTGTGTATATATTATTTATACACAAGAGAATAAGATAATTAATAACCAATAAGTACTATAATAATATAATAATAATAACTTCTGTAACGCGAGTCTCCTAAATTTGACCTCAGCGGGCACCCGTATTTTCGACCTGTTACCAAGGCAGCCAGGGAGAAGCTGTGAAGGGAGCGGACTGTGAGTGTACTTTTATTTGTTTAACGTAGCTGCAAATGTCTTCACAAAGTTTCATTCAACGTTATGACCAAGCTAGAATATACAAAAGTAAACGTGTAAAAGTCTTGACACCAAAACATATCGCGACGGGCGTGTTAAGCAGTTTTTTCATAGGTTTTAGCTAGCTAACCAAGTACGTTAACTTCAACCCGTGTTGGAATGGCTAACTAATTAGCTAGCATCAACTGCAAACATTTGAGCGTTAACCGTTATAAAACCAACGGTCGTCTTTAACCGTTGGTATAGTAGGAAATCATGTTAGCTTTGTGGCTGTAACTACACATTAATTATCTGTTTTGCATTAAAAATACAGCCCGGATAATCCAGATAAGGACCCAGACATGTCAATAACAATCATACTTCACAGCCTAGGTTGATGAAAACTCTTCATTACTTTTCATAGACACGACATGACTACACCGAGACATGAATCGTTTTTAAACCTTTGCTTTAGTAGGAAAGCATGCTAGCTTTGTGGCTGTAGCTACGCATTGATGAGCTATTTTGCATTAAAAATAAAGCACGGATAACTCAAATAAGGACCCAGAAATGTTAATAACAATCATACTTCACAGCCTAGGTTGATGAAATCCCGTTGCACAGGAGCAGCCAGTGGTGGAGAAAGTATACAAATCATTTACCTATGTGAAAGTACTAATACTATACAAACTGAGAAAAGTACTTAAGTCAAAGTATTTAAGTATGAACAGGAAAATATACTTAAATTATTAGGAGTAACGGTAATTATTGCAGAAAAAATACTTTACTCTTAACTTTTGAGAAGCTGAAACTGAAATGTTTCTTAACTACTTGAACAATTAGCAAATAGCTACCAGTTTATTTTTCATTAACCCAATTATTGTTTCAGGTACTTACATATAATGTTGGATGGCATCATATCACACAAGTTTTACCTAAGTGTTGTGTGTACAAATCTGAACTGATCAAATAAATGTCATGTAGTGAAAAGTACAATATTTCCCCTTGAATTGTAGAGAAGAAAGAAATAAATTACTTCTACTTCCAGTACCTCAAATGAGTACTTAACTAAATGTATTTCAATCAGGAGAGACTTAGTCTGTAGTTGATAACATCTTTATTGCCGTATGCACAACAGCGTTTTGGAGATTAGACCCCATCGTCCTGTGATGAATTAAGGGGGAGGAGAAGCCGACTAGAAAGAGAACCCCCCCCGGGGTCTAGACACTGGTGGTGGTGGTGAGTACTAAAGGTCCGGAGTGATGAGGGTTCTTCTGGGCTATCCACCTCTGTGATCAGCTATGGACTTCAGAAGGCTCACTGCTGCCACTTTTTTCTGTTTTAAAGCTAAGGCTGCCACCATGGGCACCGCGTCGTCCCTGGTCAGCCCAGGAGAGGTGATAGAGGACGGGTATGGAGGTGAAGGAGGGGAAGCCTGTGTGATCCCGGTGGAGGTGAAGCCCAAAGCCAGGCTCCTCCGAAGCTCCTTCCGCAGAGCGCCTCGCGTGATCGGGGCCAGCTTCAAATCCACCGGCTCTGTGGATCTAGAGTACGCTGCTGAGTATGAGCGACTCCGAAAAGAGTATGAAATCTTCCGTGTGAGCAAGAACAACGAGATAACATCCATGCAAAAGAAGGAGGCCAAGCTGGATGAGGAGAACAAGAGGCTGAGGGCTGAGCTACAGGTAACATGATTATCCTGTATCTACTGAGGTTCAGATGCTACCAGGTTTCCAGATGTTGTTACTGTTCTTTGAAGTATCTTAATGTGACAACAGGCTCTGCAGAAGACCTACCAGAAGATCCTAAGAGAAAAAGAGAGCGCTCTTGAGGCAAAGTACCAAGCCATGGAGAGGGCTGCCACCTTCGAACACGACAGGGACAAAGTCAAACGACAGTTTAAGGTAAACACACCTGTAACGATCAACTATCTAAAATAGTTAAATAAACGCACAAGGGGTTCTTGAATGAAATAATATTATAAAGGACAAAACAGAACTGATAAACGCTGAATCTACTCTTTCCACAGAATAAACAGAGACGGGTTTTATGTGTTATTCCATTATATTGACAGTTTTCCCGCCAAATAACATTAAACAAAAGTCCGCTCTGCCAAAAGTGTCTTTACTGCCTAATCCAGGCCACTGTTGTTCATTGGAAAAAACTGCTGCTCGTGTCCCAAAGGAGCGATCTCACCCTGCGTTGTAGAGAATATCTGTCTCTATCCGAGCGCGTCCTCTCCACGGAGACGTGCTTCTTGGTCGGTCGATGCAATATCCACACCTTCGGTTATTTTCATTTACTTCCCCGTTGCATTTAACCACATATATACATGCTAAGGAAAACTTCAATAACCTGCTGAATACCAGCATTCGCCACACACCTCCTCCGATGAGAAGCGACCCCTCGCATCCCGGCGGCGCGCCCACTAAAAAGCCTCTGGGCGCGCCGCGACAGGTGAATATGCAGAACCACACCCTCAAACCGTACATAACAGTGGACATTTAACAACTGCAGTTGCGAGGATAATATACATGTATCGTATTTTCATTTCATTTCAAAACAAACCAAATGCTTTAAACCTTTTCCCCTGCCACTACGGTTTATAAGAAACACTTAAATCAACGTGCGACCGTCACTGTGGAGCATTCTCTCCAGTAATCCTAATTATCTGCAACCCTAACCAAGTGCTTAATAATACCCAGATCTTCCGGGAGACAAAAGAAAAAGAGATTCAGGATCTCCTGCGGGCCAAAAGGGACTTGGAGGCCAAACTGCAACAGCTACAGGCTCAGGGAATCCAGATCTATGACTTAAATGATTCTGACTCAGATGACAACCAAACCACTGTCACAGGTAAGATCTAGAAATCCACAATGTTGGGACTTTTAAATGTATCTATAATTCAATCTTAACCCGTGCTGTTTTGCCACAAGAATACAAAAATAAGTTCTTGTTTTGTGTGTATAAGCATTGCATTATTTCTCTCACTCTGTCTTCAGCTGCAGGGACTCAGTGTGATTATTGGTCAGGTGGGGTGCTGGGAAGTGAGCCCTCTATGGGCAGCATGATGCAGTTACAGCAGACCTTCAGAGGACCTGAATTTGCCCACAGTTTGATAGATGTGGAGGGACCCTTTGCAAATGTGGGCAGAGGTGAGTCAACTTTAAGACATCTGTAGAATTGTTGGCGAAGAAATGAACCTCGACATAAATGACCTAATTATTTATCAACATTATTATGTTCCATGTGTTATTCTCGCACCTTTCCCCTGTGTGTGTCAGATGACTGGGACGCTGCCGTGGCCAGTCTGCTTCAGGTGTCCCCTCACGTGCCCCAGGCCTTATGGAGTAACACCGTGCGCTGCTACCTCATCTTCACCCAGGAGACCAAACCTGAGCTGGATGTCTTTATTAAGGTCGGTTAGATGGGCAATGTGGGTCAAACAACTATAAAGATATTGTTTAACACTGTGAGGCGTTTTTGAAGAAATCTGAATTGAAATGGTGTATAATAATTATTGTGCTTGACAGACAGCATTCATCTAAATGGAATCATGCTGATATAGGTGTTTTTTTAAGTCTTACATTACCTTTATTCTGTCTTCAAGAAATTATCTAAAAGCCAGGATAAAAAAAGACTATTGTTGCTTTGCTTCCTGTTTTCAAACAGAAACACTCCCCTGTGTTACGGAGGATGTGCGAGGGTCTCGGCCATTTCTACCTGAACGTGTGCTTCCCAGAGGAAACCGCTGCCTCCTACGATGTGGAGCGAAAGCAGGAGATTGAAAGGAGCTCTGTGTGTGTGCTTCTAGTCAAATCTACTGTAACCAGGTACAGTAAGTCCTAGAGTATATTCACCTTAACTAGTTATGTTGAACACTGATTATCGTATTTATTTAAGAACTATCTCTTCATGTTCATTCATGTGTGTAGCTCTGTGGTGGAGGATTGTGAGGAGGCTTTTGTGAAGAATCCAGACGGCCATCCACTGGTGCTCTACCTCAGGACTGAAGAGGACCACACTCTGACCGGACCCACCAGACAACTGCTAGAGAGAATTAACGCTGCAGACAAGGCTGCTAAAGTCAAGGTTTGTGAGTGCCAGACAATAAAGCAATATAAAGTGTATTCTGTAAATGCGTATGCCGTTTATAGTCATTCAAATATGTGTGTGCTCCTGCGTATTCCTGGTTGCCAAAAGCCAAACAGTGTTTTTCAAATGAACCCAGGTGGTGGATCACCGTGGTTCTGCAGAGGAGGGGGCTGACCTCATTTATTCTCAACTGGAAAAAGTCATCAAACAGGTACAGACAGTCAGCAGCATCAGTGTTTGATCATTTCTCTGTATGTGATTCCTGCTCATGATTCTACCTCTTCCACCCTGACGTAGGAGCTGCTGTGTCTTGAAGGGGCAGATGTTGACTCTAAGGACTCTGGGATAGATGAGGGGCGTGAGGAGGACTCGGGAGACGTGCTGTGGGACCTGCATGACGAGCAGGAGCAGATTGAGTCCTACCAGCAGGCCTGCAGCTGCACCTCCTCCCAGCTGGGCTTCCAGAAGGTGGGGCAGATCTCTTATCTGTTTTACTCTCAGCCCCCTATCAATGTCTTATTCTTGAATCTCTCCGTGCTGTCCTCCTCAGTATATAGACCGTCTGAATGACATGATAGCTGCTCCTCCTCCCACCCCTCCCCTGCTGGTGTCAGGTGGTCCGGGCTCAGGAAAGTCACTCCTGCTCTCCAAATGGTGAGAAAAGATTCATTCAGTCGAGTGTCCTGACACTTCTTAAATCAAGCTCTTCTGTATTTAAAGTGTATGCTTAGAAGGGAGGAGTGAGTAGTTTACCACTCTTCGGCCTACAATGGAACAGGACATTATTTACCGTTTGTCTTCGTGCTGTGCTCCTCCTCAGGATCGAGCAGCAGCAGAAGCAGTCTCCCAACACCTTGTTTCTTTATCATTTCGTCGGTCGCCCGCTTTCCACCAGCTCCGAGCCGGTGCTCATCATCAAACGCCTCACGGTCAAAGTAAGGGCTCTTTCAAAGGCATACTTCCAGTGAAGACACTCACTCTTTCTGATCAACTGTAACTATAAGTGCTCTCTGCTGTCACGTAGCTGCTGCAGCACTTCTGGTCCATATCCGGCCTGTCCATGGAGCCCAGTAAGATCTTAGAGGAGTTTCCCCGCTGGCTGGAACGATTATCAGCACGCCATCAAGGAAACATCATCATTATCATCGACTCCATTGACCAAATACAGGTTCGCTCCACATGAGGCATATGCCGCACATATTTTGTTACTGGTCTCATTTAGAAATAGCTCACTTATGTTCTCTCCTTTTTTCAGCAAGCAGAGAGACACATGAAGTGGCTGATTGACCCTCTTCCTGTCAATGTGAGAGTGGTGGTGTCTGTCAATGTAGAGACGTGTCCTCAAGCGTGGAGGTGAGACACAGCGAAGTCCCGCCCGTCTACTTCCGACCCATCGGACCTTATTTAGAAAAAAGTATGTATTGAAGTCAATGGAGAGAGAAAGATTATCTTTCCATCTCGTTTGAATTGTGCCACGAATTACACACATGATGTTTGTCAATTTAAAAGATAATTTCCATGTCAAAAAAGTCAGTTTGTCGTAAAACTGTTGAAATATAAGACTATGAAAAATACGCAACTAGAAAGACTACAAATCCCAGAGTCCCGGTCCCGCATGCTGGCTCTCACGGAACCGACTAACTCCCCTTGTGTGTGCACAGCTCTCAACGCGCCCAGACTTGGAGTGATTTCCACCTCTTTTAATACTTTCCGCCTCGTTCTGAGAGAAAGAAGTGAAATGTTTCAACGTGACGGCCGTCTTGGTGTGTGGTGCGAGGCGGGAGATGTAGGTCATTGAGCGGTTTCACACACAAAGTGTTACTTCACAGTTTGACGACACATTTTAATTTTCTTGACTTGCAAAATTATCTTTTAAATTGACAAACATCATGTGTGTAATTCGTGGCACAATTCAAACGGGATCGAGACATAATCTTTCTCTCTCCGTCGACTTCAATACAGACTTTTTCCGAAATAAGGTCCCATGGAGGAAAGGGAGGGACTTCGCCTCTCTATGTCTTCCACTGGTTCAAAATGCTGTTTATTGCAGGGACATATGATTCTGTACCTGTAGTATCGCTCTCTGTAATTCAGTGATTATGTCCGTTTAGGTTGTGGCCCACTCTACACCTGGACCCTCTGAGTCCCAGAGAGGTGAGGAGCGTTGTGAATGCAGAGTGCCAGAGCATGGAACTCAAACTAACCAAGGACCAGGTCAGTTAGCATCCCACCATCCGCAATTTCAAAATAAATGTAAACGATATTTGGAATTGGTTCCTGAGAGGTTTTTTTATTTTCTGAGAATGCCACACCTATTGTTTTGTTGCAGGAGAAGAAGCTGGAGAGGCACTGCCGCTCTGCCTCCACCTGCAACGCATTGTATGTCACACTGCTGGCAAGAATGATCATCAGGTTAGTTTCAGACACTTTGACAAAGTAAATGAATTCCAAAAAGATCTTACCTGGGTCAAATAGAGTTCACCCCTCTCAAAACTGACAATGTTATCTCTGATTGTGTGGTGTTAGGAAAATATCACTCGACACCGGGTTGAGAATCAAGTCAGGTACTAATTTGTTCTTGCAAGAAGGAGCAGAGTTAAGTCACATACAAAGGATATGGTTCAACTCACACACATGATGTATGCTGCTCAAAGGAGCAGGAAGTAACATCAAGCTTATATAGTCTAAAGTCAGGAGGTACCAAACGGTGTCGGGAAGGCGTCGGGACATCTCTGGAAAGGCAGGGTTGCTCTTTGCCCCTCAAAGAGGAGAGGAGCCAAAGTGTGTGTGCTCTCGTTGGTATCAACAACATGAATTATGCCCTGCCTTCTCCTATCTACGAAGAGGCAGCTGCGAGGTCACACAGTGCAAAGTCACACACAGTATCATGCCCATCAGAAAACCCATAATAAAGAAGACGCCTTGTATTTTCTCCAACATGTGGCTTCATGTGTTTTAGATGTTGTTGATTGGAGCATGTGAATTGTTTTGTTGCTGGCCAGCAGTATATCCGGCTGCTCTCTGGAGAAGAGCCTGGAGCAGTGTCTGCAGTGTCAGGACACCATGTCTCTGTACCGCCTGGCTCTCAAGATGACGCTGAACTCCCTCAACACAGACAGGGAGCGACACATCATGAGAGAGGTGACCTAATAACAATTATTCAAGCAGTATCTGCAGGTGTGTTTCTGCATCTCACTTCTTAGAATGTCGCTGTTTGTGATGCGTCCCGGGAAAGACACCCAGTTCCTAACACTCCAAATGCTTCATTCATTTATTGTGGCCATTGTGTGCCGCAAATCAGATGTTTACTTTCCGTTTCATTGTGTTCTCATGACGTCATTCTCTGTCCTTTTCTCTGTAACAAAGGAGCTTGTTTTGTCTCTCTTCAGATCCTATGCCTCGTTTGTTCTAGCCATAATGGAGTGAGTGAGTCAGAGGTGTTAGACCTTTTCACAGAGCTGGAGCTGCCGGTCCTGTCCTCTCTGCTGTACCGTCTGAACAGACTCTGCATCGTGACCCTGCGCTGCGGCCTCATCAGGTTTCAACACCTGCAGGTAACCGGGCCAGTAGCATAAACATCGATGATATTCCTGGGTCGGAAGATGTTCGGAGAGACAACTTACATTGTTTTTCTTTCAGGCTTGGGAAGCTGTAAGGTTGGAGTTCCTGGGTGGAGGAAGTAGCTCGGCTGCTTACAGAGAGAAACTCATTCAGTACTTCAGTCAGCAGCTCAGGTGCATTAACTGTAGTCATCTGTTTCTCATAAAACACAGCTTAAAGTATTTTCTTAGTACTCATCAGGGTTCTTACGGTCATTAAAAACCTGGAAAAGTCATGGAAATTCAAAATGCAAATTCCAGGCCCTGGAAAAGTTATGGAAAACAATATTTTTCCCAAAGTTTTTGGAATGGAAATGTAATTAAAGTTGCATCAAATATAATTTATATTTTAGCTAATCGCCGAAATAGTAATACTATAATGATAATACATACTGTATCGTTTAGTAATGAAACGTAAAATGGCTTTTAACTGACGAGGTGTTTCGCTGGTGAGAGATTTTAGTAGAAGCTAGTAAGCCAACTATTTGATTTGTTTTGATAGATGTTTCATATGCAGGCCTTATTTTCCTGTTCCATGTTAAAATAAACCATTTTCAGTGGCACCGCTGGGAAAGAGTCATTGTTTTGGTCATGGAAAATCATTGGTGAAAAAGTGTATGAACCATTGTGTTTTTGTCTGTGTGTGTGTAGCCCGGACCGTGTGACGTGGCGTGTTGCAGACGAGCTGCCCTGGCTGCTCCAACAGCAGGACGATCGGACCAAACTACAGCTCAGCCTCCTCAACCTGTTTGTCTCCCAGAACCTCTACAAGAGGTACAAAACCCATACCTATGTGCTGATATAGCAAAGCCTGCCACATGTAAGTTAGTACAGTGTTACAGATGTGTGTTCTCTGTTTCTAGGGGTCATTTCTCCGAGCTGCTAGCCTATTGGCAGTATGTGGGCAAAGACAAGAGCTCCATGGCCACGGAATACTTTGACTCCCTGAAACAATATGAGAAGAGCTGTGAGAATGAAGACAGCATGACCAAGCTGGCCAACCTGTACGAGACTTTGGGACGTTTCCTCAAAGACCTCGGCCTCCCCAGTCAGGTGCGTGCTTGGTTACAAAATCTGAAAGAGTATTATCTTTAAAACAGGTTTTCTTTTAAAGGGGACCTATCATGCAAAATGCACTTTGTGATTTCTTTTATACATCAATGTGTAAAGAAAATAAAACCCTCTCTCTTTTCCTCCGTACCCAAATCTCTAAAAACGGGGAACAACGGAGCTGATCCAGATTTGCGTCCGATATGACGTAATATCTGAAATGTGGACCCACGGCCCAATCAGAAACGTTGCTATCAGAAACAATGCCCGACTGTTTTGGACGTAATATGGTCGGTGTTTACATTAGCATGGCTAACACTCAGAGCTAACCTGTACTGGAGAGCATGTGTGTGAAGAAGCAGGAAGTAAAAAGGAACTCACCTTGTGGTATAACCGGCAAGAGAGAAAGCCTTTGAGCTCCAGACTGTTTCAGAGAGAATCCTTGATAACCCATGATATGGCGTTTCATCACGGCAGCATTTAGTTTAGTTTTAGAAACAGGAAGTGAAATAGAGGGATATGAGGCATGGCTATTTGTATATATCTGAGATCTATGCTATTGCCTAAAAATAGCCTGATAGGTGACCTTTAAACAAACTCAATATTTTTCTGCCTCACCTTGCGTTGCAGTTTTGTTGTTTCCTTTGCTTACATATCCTGATTTTGCCATTAGGTAAGTGCACATGTTGACAGTTGCATACTGTATCTGTTTCTGTCTGTTTTCTAGGCGGTAGCACCTTTACAAAGGTCCCTGGAGATCAGGGAGACGGCCTTGGACCCGGACCACCCCAGCGTGGCTCGCTCGCTGCACCAGCTGGCCGCGGTTTACGTTCAGTGGAAGAAGTACGGCAACGCTGAGCAGCTGTACAAGCAGGCGCTGGAGATCAGTGAGAACGCCTACGGAGCCGAGCACGCCAGCGTAGCACGAGAGCTGGAGTCCCTCGCCATGCTCTACCAGAAACAGAACAAGTAAATGGATCTCCTGACCTTTACATGATGTTTTTTATTACTGTTGTTGTTGTAGTACAGTTTATTGGTGGTTTCTGGCAGGTAACGAGGTGTCATACCGATGTTATTGATTCTATAACACGTATGTTTAATGGCTTACACCTGGCTGTTTTACAATCAGGTACGAACAAGCAGAGAAACTGAGGAAGAGGTCAGTAAAGATCCGTCAGAAGACTGCTCGCCAGAAAGGCCATATGGTGAGCGTATTTAAAGATACCCGCACGCTTAGTCATTCTCACCTAATCTTAGTGGTAATGTTCATGCCTCTGTGGATCCACCTCTCAGTACGGCTTCACGCTGCTGAGGCGCAGAGCTCTGCAGCTGGAGGAGCTCACTCTGGGAACAGACTCTGCAGACTCTGCCAAGACACTCAATGAACTGGGTGTTCTGTACTACCTCCAAAACAACCTGGAGTAAGACACACGTTCATCACTTCACCCTTTTTGTATTCTTGAAAGACCTTTAAGATGCAAACCACATTTACAAAGAATTCAAGCAAACAACAGTCATATACCGATATGTTATAGCTAGGATGCTCACAGATAAACCTATCTGCATTTGGACATGAATTATCTAATTATGTTTCCCTTAAATTCTATCCAATTGGAAGTGTTCCTACGTCCTTTTTTGTGTGTCTCTAACATCCCTCTGATATATCATAGCTAGGATGCACACCTATATAAAACCCCCTGCATTTAGACATGAATGATCACATTGTGTCTTCCTTAAATTAACATTCCTACGTCCTTATTTATGTGTCTCTAACATCCCTCTCCGCCCTCCCCAGTGCTGCTAAGCTGTTCCTGACCCGCTCTCTGGAGACCCGTCAGCGCGTCCTCGGTCCGGACCACCCTGACTGCGCTCAGTCCCTCAACAACCTGGCCGCTCTGCACACGGAGAGGCGGGAGTACGAGACGGCCGAGGACATGTATGAGAGAGCGCTGGACATCCGGAAGAGGGCTTTATCCCCGGACCACCCGTCGCTGGCATACACTCTCAAACACCTGGCCATGCTCTACAAACGCAGAGTGAGACGTGTGTCTGATTCTGTCTGTGGATCAGCTCGTTCTGTGTTGGCGGGGGATCTGATTTGAAGATGTGTGTGTGTTGTGCAGGGGAAGCTGGAGAAGGCCGTGCCGCTGTATGAGCTGTCTCTGGACATCAGGGAAAAGAGTTTTGGGCCCAAACATCCCAGTGTGGCCACAGCACTGGTCAACCTGGCTGTGATCTACTGCCAACTGGTGAGGAGGATTTCATTTAGCCTGTATAATTCTTCAGGAATATTCACACACATTATTTGAATGACTGAGTATGTGTATTTAAGTTATTTAGAGAAACTAAACTTCACTTTTCCTTCACAGAAGAACCACAGTGACGCCTTGCCTCTTTACGAGCGAGCGCTGAAAGTGTATGAGGATAGTTTGGGACGTTCGCACCCACGGGTCGGAGAGACCCTGAAAAACCTGGCTGTGCTGAGGTGCAGTAGCATTTGGCTGGTCCGAAGTTAAATCACGAATGTTATTGACTATTAAAATCATTCCTTGTTTTGTATTTCTTGCTTCATAGCTACGAAGAGGGCGACTTTGAGAAGGCGGCAGAGCTTTACAAACGTGCGATGGAGATCAAGGAGGCGGATCCGTCGCTGGTGTGCGGGAACGCCCCGTCCCGCCACTCCTCCAGCGGGGACACGTTCAGTCTGAGAGGACCTGCCCCCCTCCCACAGGCCCCCAGGTGACTCTGTTCAGCCACACCTGCCACGGAATAACAACAAAGATTGACCCATGGTTTCAAACTGGGAACCATTCTGGTCAATACGGTGTGGTTGGTGTTTCTCAATGTCGAGGATGCTTCCTTGGTAGGACAAGTCTTCCGAGTCAGGTCCTTTAGAAGCTAGGCAAGAATCCTTCCTGGCATTCGGAGAACGAAGAATGGAACAGGCGAGCAAGTGTGCGTCATATCAGAGGCCCCGCCTTACATTTTCCGCCACAGATTTTGGAAATTGGTCCGTGCGCAAAGCATTGTGGGGATTTTAAGACCGCGGAGGATACACATGTGCAACTTCGAAATGTCTCTCTACGAAGGACACCGGGCTCGGTAGAATTCCAAGTATGCTGGACATTGGAACAGTCCTTCGGCGGCACTCGATGACGTAGCATCCTTGAAATAGTGGCTCTGGAGCATCCTTCCTTGACATTGAGAAACACCCGTTGTTCTCAGATGAAGGGTTAAAGGGTTCGGTCAATTAGACTGCAACCTGGTGGAAGTGTCGCCTATTAATCTGTGAAACCTGTGTTTTAACTAAGTATTTATTATTATTTACAACTTCATCACATGTGTAGGAAACCTCTGTTAAATCTGTCCTTTCTAAATGGAACTCAGGTTTACTCTTATAGTTAATTAAGGCACTTTAATATTATAAAACAATTAAGGAACCAGGATCATTAGGTGCTTTCCAATGTACAGACGATATCAATATATGCACTTTTTCAAACACCTTAACATTAATATTAAAGGTCACCTATCATGCTATTTTTAGGCATATATTATGGGTCTCAGATATATAAAAATATGTGTTTTTCTCAAAATACAAACAGATCATGCATTTTAGAAATCCCTCATACCCCTCTTTTGCAGCCCTGTTAGAGAAACGCAGATTTTGGGTCCTTAGCTTGAAAAAGAAAAAAGGAGGAGGCGGAGCTAATGCCTGATCAGAATTCTACCGGAGATGGTTACATTCTGCTGTGATAAAACGCCATCCTGTTCTAAACCACATCAAGGATTATCTCTGAAACAGCATGGAGCTCAAATGCTTTGTCTCTCTCAGGTTTATCACAAGGTGAGTTCTTTTTGTATGTCCTGCTTTTTAAACACACATGCTCTCAGCACAAGTTAGCTCTCAGCACAGGTTAGCTCTGAGTGTTAGCGAGGCTTGCTAATGTAAACAAAAACGAGATTACGTCCAAAACACGTCAGGCATTGTTTCTGACAGCAACTCTCTGTGGGTCCACCATCCCAAATGACGTCATATCGGCAGCAAATCTGTATCCGCTCGTTGTACCCCCGTTTTTTAAAAGATTTGGGTACGGAGGAAAAGAGAAAGGGTTTTATTTTCTGACACCTTGAGAGTTCCCCGACACACCGGGGACACATGTTTAGGTATAAGAGACATCAAAAAGTGCATTTTGCACGATAGGTCCCCTTTAAAGTCCAGTAAAACAGGGCTTTTCAAGTGTCTTTTGAATAGATGAAGTATGACCTTAAACTGATGTCTACATCAGACTGACTGAAATACTCTGTCGAGCGACTGTCTCTAAGATCAAATGTGCACATTGTGAAAAATGTGATTACTTATATGCCATTATGATACCATTTGTTTACATTCATCATGTTTACTTTGCAGTATTGAGTACAGTATGTAATCCAAAAAGGGAACCAAAGATAGAGCCTCAAACGTGTCTAAAGAGACATCACCTCTGGTATTGAGTTTGTTTCAATGTTTATGCTTTTATTCATTTGCAATAAGTCATGTGTAGATGGTGCCACTCGTATCAATGTTAAGTACAATTAAGAAATGGTTGTATGACTGAATGTACATGAAACCCAAAGGGACCGTGTGCCAAAACCTTTGCCTCAATATACAAAGTGTATCTTAAGTGTTTTTATATATTCATGTAAATCTGTACAGAACAGAAATCACACACTATATCGAGCAGATTGCATTCCATCTAATAAATACTTTATTGAGACTAAACATGTTGTTTACTTAAAGCTGAGTGAAAGACATCCATTCATCAAAACCATAGAAAATACACATTGTGATACTATCCTAGGTTCAAGGACATTTAAGACTCCCTTCATGTCCTTTGAAGCACTTTCATGCAGTTCCGTTCTTTAGAAGAATTAGACCCATAGTGAGTCATGAATGCAAAGGAATAGACACATGATGAAAAAAGGCATGTTGTATCAGAATTACAGAAACGTTTCCGCAGGTTTTTGCTCACAGCTTTCTCATCTGAGCCATCAGCTCTTCTAGGCTCTGCTCAGTCTCGCCCACTGTCTCCCCACTGGCTGTATTCTGGGTCAAAAGAGGGAAAACAATTGTCAGAATTACAATTTGCTAACTCGGGGGAAAATACAGGAATCCTGAAGTCAAATGTTAGACCTTTTTTAAGACCCTTTCCGTACATTTTAAGACCTCATCGCCACTTTGAGTTTTAACCGGTTACCTTGGTGACACACTTCACCTCACATTGACTACATACAGTATTGATTGTCCTTCCTCCTTATCTTCCAACCATTTGGACGCAGACTTGCATTTCCCCATAACGATGTTGCTTAGCAACCGGCGTAAACGGACCTCCGCGCGCTATCAAGCAGTGAGCGCGCGATGTCCTGTTCAGATGACGTCAAACCCAACGGGATGTCATCAATAAACTACACAGAATCACACTACACACCTACGCAATGATTACATTCAGGCAGACTGTAGAACACAACCTCTTTGGACCATTTATATACTTATTGAAAACAAGCTACAAAATGTAAGACTTTGGAAAATGCCGTTTCATATTTTTTAATAGCCTTCATTTTCACTAAATGTATCAACTTTGAATGAAGACCCCGCGGACCCCCTGAAACTCTGCATTCTCCAGGAAAGGCGATCCGTAATATTCTCACATAGAAGTATTTCAGTGCCTAACATGTAAACTGTTGTTAAGCTGTGTTGTGTCACATGATACTAACCTCAGCTGGAATGGTGTACGCCACAGTGATGCCTTCTGGGAGGTCGGGCACAACGCCTGATGCCGCCTCTAACTCCATATCAGTCACCTCTGACACTACTTCAATGCCTGCACAGCAAGAAGTGTGTGTTATTACACAATGCCAAATGGTTACAGATCTGACACTGATCTAGCAATGTGTTGCTCACCCCAGTCATTGTCCTCGTGTACGATCTCCTCCTCTTCCTCCTCTACAACTTCAACTTTAGGCCGCTCGGCTTCTTTCTTCTAAAAAGGGGAATATCCACACACACTGTTTGCTTACAAGTACAACACTACAATGTAATGTTTGGTAGGTCCTACTTTGTAAAGCACCAGACACCCACCTTGTACTCCTCCTGTTGCATCCTGCAGTAGCGGTCGTTACACTGAGGGTTGGCTTTCATGGCCATGGTGGGGAAGAAGTCCTTCATGGCGTTGTAGCCGAGATAATGACTGACAGTCCCAAACTTCAACAGATACCTGAAAACAAAAATGTAACTTAACACATACGGACAAACCTAAGTGTAGGAGCCACATGTAAAGTATTTCCTGGGACGTCACATTCTTTAGTAGGCGCTGGGCGAGTCTATTGGATCTGTGAGGTGACGTTTGAGGTTATATCCGGTTGCTTTTACCTACGAACTTTGTCATAGATGGAGGGGGAGTGAGCTGGGGAAGGATCATTTTTGTTGACAGCATACGCAATCACATAGTGGATATGGACTAGAAAGAATTGTATGTTTGCAAATAAAAGGGTTTGAAAGGCCAACAAAATATCTTACTTGAGGACGTTTTGCACCAGGATGCCTGCGACCACACCCATGGTTGTGGGTAAGCTGGCGGCACACACACCCTCTCTCTTTAGGGTCTTCTCATCGATGTTTGCGGCCACAATCAGAGGAGGGGCGCACTAACAAAAGGAGGAGAAGGTACTGTATTAAACCGTGAGTACTACCATTGTTTTTCTCGCTGTTGTTGAAGTTCTGCAGGAAGCTACGAAATGTACAGCAATGTAATGAAAGCTTGTGTGTGAGTGTGTTAAGACTTACAGCGAAACACGCCGTCTCTCCAGGGATGATGAGCTGGATGTGTCCCGACACGGCGTTCTCACTCACCCCCGACTCCATCCAGATCTGACCCAGTTCATTACAGGCCTGTGACAAACATGACAAAATGAATACAGTCGGCACGAGTAAAAAGGTACACAGTGTTTAACATGAGGTTTTTTTATACTGCACAAGTCTTACTGTATTTATCGCCATTCTAGCCTCAAAGTTGTCCACGCAGCTCAGGATCAAATCCACCGGCTTCCCTTCTTCCAGCCCTCCAAAACTGAGGGGACACAGTAGGTTGTTGTGAATGAATTTACCACTGAGGGGTGAGAACAATACAACAAGAGAAGAGATCCTCACCTGATGCGCTCCATGAAATGTGCAAAATTATCCATTGTGGTGATATTATAGTTGTGGGTCTCGAATGACACGTCTGGGTTGATGTTCCTGTTGGGTAGATTAAGTTCAAATGTAACCAACGTGTCTCTATTTTGGTGGAAAAGTGGATGACTCAGACAGTAGTGTACCTGAGTGTGTGTTCTGCTGCTTCCACCTTACTGAGGCCGGCCTGGTGAGGCTGGAAGAACAGTCTGTTCATGTTGGCCAGCTCCACTTTATCGTAGTCAAAGAGGATCAGCTGTGATGGAGAGGTTAGGGTGAGTACAGGAAGACTACTGACCAGGTAAATGTGGAATAAATAAGAAAAGGTTTGCATTACCTTACCGATGCCACATCTAGTGAGCATTTCAGCTGTCACACTGCCCACCCCCCCGACACCAACCACTGCCACTGTGAAGGTCCGGATTTTCTGTCAACACATTTGAGGTGATTATTTAATATTTGCAATGCTTAAAAAACATTAGTTCACTACAGGAGCCCTGCTATAAAAGGAAGCAGGCATAGGTGGACAACTGAAAAAACCGTTAGGTAAAAACGTATGGTTGTGGTATCGATCCCTTCTGTTGGGGATAGAGCAGCAAAATAAAAACGTGGTGCTGTATTGCAGCAACCCTTAAACATCATACCTCATAATCCTTCACGATGCCCATCCTCTTCAAAGCCATCAGACGACTGCAATAATAAAAACACAGCTGATTATCCTCTGTGAAGAACCACCATATGGGATGAGTGAGTCATAAGGCGTAGTCTCTCAGTAAGCAGACTGAAAATCCTGTCAAAAGATGAAATAATACAATATAAAAGTACCTGTATGGGTTTGAATCCACCACTTCTGAACTCATCTTGTCAATCTTGGGTCTGTGTTGCTCCTGGTTGTGAGCTTTATCCATGGCACTCTGTTTCTGCTTACACTTTATTAATTCATTCTCCAGCTCCCTCACGCGCAGCTTCAGCTCCTCCACAGTCGCCATTACGGTAGCAAATGTCCCTTAACAACGCGAATGTCCCTTAACAACGCGAAGGAAATATAGGAAGTATTTTCAGTAATATAAGAGGTAAACTGACTGTCTATAAGATAAATCTGCTCGGAAAGTACACGTCTTCACAACTGAAATCAGACTGCGTGCTCCCGTAAATACTGTCCGTGTAGAAACTAATACAATTACCTCAAACTGTTCCTACATTATTGGGTTATTTCAACTGTTTTAAACGCAATAGGATGCATATTAGAATATTCTGCATTTTTAAACTGCTCAATTTCTATTAGATATTATGAAAAAAATAGATATGCCTTTTTCCGTTAAAGGTGTTAAATAAAGAAGACACGACGTAGGTGTGCGCATGCGTAAAGGGTCCGACTGACTGTAACAACACTGCGAAAGTTATCTGAGCGATACAGCTGGAAATGATTAATCAAATCTAACTAACAAACATGGAGGAGCTCACAACTCCTGTCCGACAGCAACACGCATTCAGTGTTAGCAGACTACTCAAATATCTGTCTGTCAAGTCAACGGTGTCAAATGAGGACACACTGACTGTCAGACAGTACAGGTGAATACAGTTTGTTTCTCTGCAACTTTAAAGAGCAGGTAGAGGCTGGTTGTGTAAATGCTAACTGATAAGTGCTAACTGGTTCCTGTTGTCTTCGCAGCGCTGGTCAGTCCAACCCAACCTTCCTGATCCAGACCCCCTCAGACAGCTTTGTGCTCAGGAAGAAACCTCCAGGTGATCTGCTGCCTGGAGCCCACAAGGTAACACACATCTAACAAAAGAGTCATTCAAGTTCAACACATTACCAAAAACATGTAATACTATCTGAATACTGTTGGACTAATTCCAAATCAAACTTTCTAGATGATGCACCCTCGAAAAAAAATGTTGTATGAAAAACTCAAAACATAATCAATGCAAATAAAATGTAGTATATTCAGAACCTTATTACTACCAAATACACAATACTTACACATACTACATGTGTACTGTGTGTATTATACAATATGTTGGACTTCATGAGTTAAAAGCATTAGTTTTGATTAAAAACTGTATTTTTTGGGTTAAAATGTTTTGAATGAAGTACATACAGTGTGTGTGTGTAGTGACCATTTCTTTGAGGGTTTTCTATTATTAAAACAGTATACATGTATTTGGAATAAATTAATTGGTTGTGTACCAAGAGAATACTGTCTGCAATTGTATTGTAATAAATGCAAAATAACAAATTCATTTTACAGAAGCTTGCTTGCTACATGCTCCATTGTCAACCCCTCCACTCACATCCGTAACCTTGGCATCATCCTCGACCCCACCCTCACTTTCCTCCCTCACGTCAACCAGGTCCCAAAAAAACCGCTTTCTTCCATTTAAAGAACATCGCCCGCATCAGACCCTCCCTCTCATCGACCGCTGCTGAAACTCTGATCCATGCCTTCATAACATCCCGACTGGATTACTGCAACAGCATACTTTTTGGATCACCTGCATTCACACTAAAAAAACTTCAATATGTCCAAAACTCAGCTGCCCGCTTGCTCACCTCCACCCGATGCTCCGACCACATCACCCCTATCCTCCATGACCTCCACCCGACGCTCCGACCACATCACCCCTATCCTCCATGACCTCCACCCGACGCTCCGACCACATCACCCCTATCCTCCATGACCTCCACCCGACGCTCCGACCACATCACCCCTATCCTCCATGACCTCCACCCGACGCCCCGACCACATCACCCCTATCCTCCATGACCTCCACCCGACGCTCCGACCACATCACCCCTATCCTCCATGACCTCCACCCGACGCCCCGACCACATCACCCCTATCCTCCATGACCTCCACCCGACGCCCCGACCACATCACCCCTATCCTCATGACCTCCACCCGACGCTCCGACCACATCACCCCTATCCTTCATGACCTCCACCCGACGCTCCGACCACATCACCCCTATCCTTCATGACCTCCACCTGACGCTCCGACCACATCACCCCTATCCTCCATGACCTCCACCCGACGCCCCGACCACATCACCCCTATCCTCCATGACCTCCACCCGACGCTCCGACCACATCACCCCTATCCTCCATGACCTCCACCCCGACGCTCCGACCACATCACCCCTATCCTCCATGACCTCCACCCGACGCTCCGACCACATCACCCCTATCCTCCATGACCTCCACCCGACGCTCCGACCACATCACCCCTATCCTCCATGACCTCCACCCGACACTCCGACCACATCACCCCTATCCTCCATGACCTCCACTGGCTCCCCATCAAACACCGCTTTGACTTTAAAATATTATACAAAGCCCTCAACAACCTTGCCCCCCCCCCTACCTCTGTGACCTCATCCAACGACACACCCCCACCCATCGCCTCAGGTCTGCTGAAGCTAACCTACTGCAGCCCATCAGGACAAAGCTCCGGACCTGGGGTGACAGGGCCTTCACAGCAGCCCCCCCTCACTCTGGAACCCCCTCCCCAGCCACGTCAGCTCCGCCAACACTCTTCAAACAATCCCTCAAAACTCACCTTTCAACTCCTAATCCTCTAACCCCTCGCCCTGATTCCACCTAGCTTAGCACTTTCTACTGTTGTTGTTATTTTGTTTTACTTGCTTGTAAGCGCTTTGAGCACCAAGAAAAGCGCTTTATAAATGTAATGCATTATTATTATTATATCAGTATCTGTGTAAGAAATAGTTTGGGTCATGTGGAATAATATATTGAAGCTAACAGTGTTTCTATTGCATCTTTGTGACTCTGTGTTCAGGTGGACAGGGAGTACCGGGTGCAGAAGGCTCTGTTCTCCGCCGGGTTCCCCGTTCCTCAGCCTCTCCTGCTCTGCACTGACGCTGAAATCATCGGAACAGAGTTCTACTTAATGGAGCACGTGAAAGTAAGCTTGTTTCACTAAGACGGTGTCCATGCTGTTTGGTTGGCCTTTGCCCTATTTTCTTATGATGAAAGATGGAGTTTGGACCTGTGTTTACCCGCTGGTGGACATGCACAGGCTGCTAAACCGTTACCACCATGTGAAGATGCTGTAAAAAGACAGTCTTTCTTTCTTTTGATCAGGGCCGTATATTCAGGGATCTCCGTCTCCCTGGAGTGAGTGCAGCAGAGAGGGCAGCTCTATATGTGGCTGCAGTGGAAGCGTTGGCAAAGCTCCACTCACTGGACCTGGCATCCCTGAACCTGGAGGGGTTTGGTAAAGGAGCCGGATACTGCAAGAGACAAGTGAGCTTAGCGCCATTAATTAAAATAAATGTATGAGTCATCTCAGAACATGGAGTTGACATTAAAAATCTGTCTCTAAAGGTGTCAACATGGACGAAGCAGTACACAGCCGCCGCCCACAGGGACATCCCAGCCATGAACGAGCTCTCTGATTGGTTGATGAAGAATCTGCCGGCCAATGACAACGAGGTCACGCTGGTCCACGGAGATTTCCGATTGGATAATCTGATATTCCATCCAACAGAGGTAAGGTTTAAAAACTCTTATCTTTCTCTTTGATGTGACTGTAATGCTAAGTGCGTTTTGATAAATAAAAAAAGTAAAGCTTTTTAATACACAGCGACAGCTCAAGCGCACACATCTATTTCTTTAGATTCATAAGATTTCAAGGAATACAAGGAGGTAAAAGAAGCAAGAGAAATACAAAAAAATATATAGTAATAATCCAAAAATTCACAAAATAATTGTCTTGTGTTTTTCTAAAGGTTAAAAAGACACAAGACAAAATGATTAAATACAATAAAATTAAAAGCTAATCTAAAAAGACATGTTTCAGCAGTAGGTTAAAGATATCCACTTATATATTCCTGGTATGGTGCTCCACAGTTTGTACTGTAGTGGACGAAAGCTGCTTCACCCATCTCATTCTTCTGGGGTTATCTCCTGTCATCAGGCCCGTGTGATGGCCGTGTTGGACTGGGAGCTGTCCACCACCGGGCAGCCTCTGGCAGACCTGGCCTACTTCCTGATGCCTCACTACTGGCCCTCCAGCATGAACATCATCAGCACGCTGGGCAGCTTGAAAGGAATAGAAGGTAAGGAAAGAACAACTCCAAACAGTGTGAGGAATATGGAGAATGGCTCAAATAAATGTGATCAAACATTTCTGTGCAGGTATCCCAAATGTGGCCGACCTGATCTCCATTTACAGCCGCTGCCGAGGGATCCCTTCTTCTTTTCCAGAGTTGAATTTCTACCTGGCCTTGTCGGTGTTTAAAATGGCAGGAATCGCCCAGGTTTGTACCCGTTTATATATACCTGCAAGCGTTTCTTATAACAGTAATGCAACCTGATATCCATTACTTTTGGATATCGAATGCAATCTGAATAAAGACATATCAATAAGGCTCCGTTTTAGTTGAACACACACAGTGAAGCTCACACACACTGCTTTATGAACACATAGGTTCACCTGCTGAATTAAAACCAGAACACATGAAGCAAAGAAAGTGAAAACCATGAAGCAGATTCAGGCAGTAGAAGATTCACTCTGAAAGTATTATCCTATCCGCTCACAGAGAAGAGATAACATCTGATCCTTTACAAGAAACACTATATGATGTTTTTAATAACACTGTAATCCTGCTAGACCTCCCCATTCTTTAAAGAAATGTAACAGAAATGTTATTTGTTCCTTTATTCCCCATTGTATCTCTCAGGGGATCTATGCACGCCACCTACTGGGCAATGCGAGCGCTCCCAATGCAGAGGAGTTCGGCCAGCGTGTGGAGCCGTTGGCTCAGACTGCCCTGCAGCTCGCTCAGAGGTTGGTCGGCTGCTTGAGTTGCGTGACAAAGTTCCTGTTGTTGTTTTAACACAGGCTTTAACGCGGTCACTCCATGATTACTTTCAGAAGATGCGTGTGTTGACGCTCTGACTCATATCGCCTTTGCTAGATTTACTTTAAAGGTCGATGTAGAGAGACATGAAGAAGAGGGGACACATGTTGATGTAGAAGAGACATGAAGAAGAGGGGACACGTGTTGATGTAGAAGAGACATGAAGAAGAGGGGACACATGTTGATGTAGAAGAGACATGAAGAAGAGAGGACACATGTTGATGTAGAAGAGACATGGAGAAGAGGGGACACATGTTGATGTAGAAGAGACATGGAGAAGAGGGGACACATGTTGATGTAGAAGAGACATGGAGAAGAGAGGACACATGTTGATGTAGAAGAGACATGAAGAAGAGAGGACACATGTTGATGTAGAAGAGACATGAAGAAGAGAGGACACATGTTGATGTAGAAGAGACATGGAGAAGAGGGGACACATGTTGATGTAGAAGAGACATGAAGAAGAGGGGACACATGTTGATGTAGAAGAGACATGAAGAAGAGGGGACACATGTTGATGTAGAAGAGACATGAAGAAGAGGGGACACATGTTGATGTAGAAGAGACATGGAGAAGAGGGGGACACATGTTGATGTAGTAGAGACATGAAGAAGAGGGGACACATGTTGATGTAGAAGAGACATGAAGAAGAGGGGACACATGTTGATGTAGAAGAGACATGAAGAAGAGGGGACACATGTTGATGTAGAAGAGACATGAAGAAGAGGGGACACATGTTGATGTAGAAGAGACATGAAGAAGTGGATTTCGCACAACATGTGACCTTTAACACACTGGGTATGAGTTCTTAAAAGTCCCAGATCGTTTAAACGGTGTTATTTCAGTTGAATCCATCGATATTCCCATATGATCAGTCGTAGAATACTCTGCTATGAATGGAAACAGATTGACTCCACCTGCTGACTGGATGTAAGCCAGCAGCAGTTGGAATTTGGCGTCCAGCTGCTGCTTCAGAGACTCCCTGCTGACTTTCTACCGTGTGTTTGTTTCCAGGTCGGTGTCAGGTCCAACAGGAGACGGTCTGTTCCTGCAGACGGCTAAAGGGCGCGCTGTTCTGCAGCAGGTCAAAGACTTCATGAGACAATACGTGCTTCCTGCTCAGGAGGTCAGTGCTTTGACAGAGATGTGTTTGTCCAGATGGAGTTTTAACTTTTACATGAAAGGGTTTGACTGAGCCGCTCAGTCATGCAGTCAGGATTCGAGTGGGAGAACAAGGAGGCTATTGATTACATGGTATTGCATGCAGAGGCAGAATCACCACCATGGCTTTGGAAATGTTGTTAGTTTTGATGTGGGCAGATTGAACAGATTAGTTCCTCCTGCAGAAATAACTACATTAACACCGTAAGTGAGTCAAAACAGCCAGTGCTTGAATTGGAATCAAAATGGTGCCAGTACTCTAAATCAGCAACTGTTTCAAGTCAATTTATTTATACAGCCCAAAAACAAGTATTTGGCTCAAAGTCATAGTATATCCTGTAATGCTGGTGGGTTCGTCTCTTTACTGTATATTTTAGAAAGGCTCACTTAAACTAAGTGACTCAGGGTGCATCTGAGATTAGAGGGGGTGCAGGGGTAAAGTGCTATTTTTAGAAGTGGGGAGTGGACCTGACACCCTAGCCTAGGGGGTCCGGGGGCATGCTCCCCCGGGAAGATTAGTTTTTAAATATTGAAGTTAGATGCATAAATCTGGTACTTTGAGAGCAAAATGAAGAGATATACGGATACCTCTCAACATCCATATGAAACAGAACTGTAAACAGATTTACTTTTTCTTTATGGATATAAAAGAAAGTAAAGCCTGACTCCTACTGGCGGCTGGTTCAATGACTCCTCGTCCCCGAGTACACTCATCTTTCAGCAGGAAAGGAGAGAGGGAATCCTTGTCCGGCGACAACCGCTGTCTTTTCGCACTTTTATTAAGCCACGCTAACATTTTCGAAATGCTAACGTTATGTGATGTCTTTTCTGCTCTAGTCTATCGCTGCGGCGCGTCATAGGTACGCTGGGCATATTTGTTGTCATGCGTCATGACGTGCCGCAGGCGGCTGAGTACCGGCACCTTGCCCGGTACTCAGTAAGAAGTGCCGGTACCATATGGGTAAAAATCAGAAGTGCCGGTACTGCGTGCTGGTGAGTACCGGCCCAATTCAAGCACTGAAAATAGTTCTACATTTATCTTTTGTAAAGGTTCCCACTAAGGAAGAGGATGCTCAAGTGAGAGTAGAGTAAACAAAATGATTGTTATGCTTTTTGTTTTGTTTCTACAGGAAGTTGCAGAGTACTACAGCAAACACGCTCGGTCTCCACAGAGATGGCACACCCCACAAATAATAGAGGATCTAAAGGTATGTCAGGATACTTTTTCTAACATTTAATTGTAATGTTTTGTTTAATTTAGTGGCCACAACCAAGACCTGTCCAGGTTAACACTACCGGAGGCGATGCAATCAAACAACATGTAGCAATAAACAAATATAAATATATTCAAGTTAAAGCTGTCAATCGATTCTACGTGTGTGTGTGTGTGTGTGTGTTGGTTGTGTGGTGGGTGTGTAGTGTGTGTGTGTGTGTGTGTGTTGTTGTGTGTGATGTGTGGGTGTGTGTGTGTGTGTGGTGTGTGTGTGGGTTGTGTGTGTGTAGTGTGTGTAGTGTGTGTGTGTGTGTGTGTGTGTGTTGTGTGTGTGGTGTGTGGTGTGTGATTGTGTGTGTGTGTTTGTGTGTGTGTGTGTTGTGTTTGTGTGGGTGTGTGTGTGTATGGTGTGGGTGTGGTGTGTGTGGGATGGGCTGGGTGGGTGTGTGTGTGTGTGTGTGTGTGTGTGTGTGTGTGTGTGTGTGTGTGTGTGTGTGTGTGTGTGTGTGTGTGTGTGTGTGTGTGTGTGTGTGGTGTGTGTGTGTGGTGTGTGTGTGTGTGTGTGTGTGTGTGTGTGTGCGTGCAGGTGAGAGCCAGGCAGGCCGGGCTGTATAACCTGTTCCTGTCTGCAGTCAGCGGCCTCAGTCAGCTGGACTACGCCTTCATCGCAGAGGAGACCGGGCGCTGCCTCTTCGCTCCTGAAGTCTTCAACTGCCAGGCTCCCGGTAACACTTGGTTTCAGATCTAGAGATAAATGTGTCAATATTATCTCCCTTTTTCTCAGTCACACACTTACAGTATGACCTTGCACTTTAGCATAGATTACATTTGACTATGTTGCTGATGAATTTGTCCTAGTTATAAGTTCCCCAAATGGTAACTCATGTCGGCCCCTTTTGCATCCGAACGATTTTTGTGTTTGTTCACTATAGCTTTTTTTAACAGTATGATTATGGTCCTCTAGGGCAGTGTTTTTCAAAGTGGGGGCCCGACCCCCCGGGGGGCCGCCAGGAGGCGCCAGGGGGCTAACGCAAAGTTTGAGGGAAAGGGGAATTTATTTTTTTTAAATTACATTTTTTCTTTTTTAGATGTTATTAATAACTGCATATCTATCAATATATGTGTCCTTTGATGCCAATCTTTTAATATTTTGTATTTATTAATATATATATATACATTTTAAATCTCACGACCGCCCTTCAAGCCAATCAGAATCGAGCTGCCGCTACTGAGAGTGAAACTGAGCATCTGCTCAGCTTTTGGAGCAAGTGAGAACTAGTGAATATTTCGCTCTGCAGCTGGATGAGAGCACGGATGTAGCAAATATTGACGTTTATATATATGAATATAAATATGTTTATTGTTAATATTACTGTTGAATATTATATATAATATTATGAAGGCATAAGTAGCTTTCAAAAATGCAAAAAATATATGTTAATTGTTAATATTACTGTTCAAGATTATATAATATTATAAAGACAGAAATCAATTTAAAAATATGTTTTCTGTTGATATTACTGTTTCATATTGTGTTAAGAATGTTTATAACAGAAGACACGATGAATGTAATGAATGACAAACAAAAGATAAATACAAAAAATGTTTAGAAGAATAACTGATTATTAATACAAATAAATAATAAGAAAATGTATTTAGCTGTATGATTAATGTCATATTTTCCATCATAATGTACTCATCATTTAAATAAACAAATTGCAACAGGGGGGGTCCCCGCCAGACGATAAAGCTATATGGGGGTCCTTGGCATGGCAAAGTTTGGGACCCCCTGCTCTCGGGCATATATTTCCCAACTTTCCCCTGATATCCTGTAAGACAGTCTGTATGTTGCTTCTCCACAGACACAGGCAATATGGAGGTGCTCCACATGTTTGGCAGTGAGCAGCAGAAGAAGAAATGGCTGGAGCCTCTGCTCAGAGGGGAGATTCGCTCCTGCTTCTGTATGACAGGTAACTCTTTAAATATGTCCTCACAGGAACAGCTTCAAATACGTGCAAAACATCACGCGTCACTGTGCTTTAACAGGAAGGGATGTAAAGGAAAAGGTACAATGTGTCGGCTTGAAAAGGCACTTTTTTGTAAGTACCTTTTAAGAGCGGGTGTAGTTACAACAAGGCACTGCTTTCTTATGAGATCGGTTTTTTCTAAAACAGTCAAGTTCTGGTTCTGGTTTTAAATGAGCCGGTTGCACGGTTGCTATGTCGTTTGGAAATTCTTCATGGAAACGGCAGAAGACGAATGCCCTATGAGTAATGTCTCCCCGTTTCCCCTCTTTGCTTTCCACGCTGCCATGGAAACCGCAGCACGCTGAGGTGATTACCGTGGGTGTGAACCTCCCTATGGCGCTCCTTGTAAACACAGATGGTGATCAGCTGTGCTTTGGTGATGCTTTTTGTCACCAGTTTGGATAATAATAATAATTCCTTACATTTATTATAGCGCTTTTCCAGATGCTCAAAGCGCTTTACAAATACACATTACACGTATCATACATGCAATGGTCATGTACTGTGGACAATACCCACAGGAGCAAGTTCAGGTGAAGTGTCTTGCCCAAGGACACAACGGCTTTACAGACGCAGCAGCGGCGGGTTTCACCCCTTGATCTGATGCTCATTGCACAGCGCACTGCGCCACACCGTCCATCTTCACGCCTCGAGGTCATCGAGGCGCTTTTACAGGTACACATTGGTATTATACATGTACTGTGGACATTACCCACAGGAGCAAGTTCAGGTGAAGTGTCTTGCCCAAGGACACAACGGCCTGACGCAGTGGCGGCAGGAGCGGGTTTCGAACTGGAGTTCCCCAGCACCCCCCTTGATCTGATGATCAGATGCACAGACCACTGCGCCACCCGTCCCGTTCTGACGAGGAACAGGATCCTCCGTCTTGTGCTGATAAACAATTGACGTTGTTAGGAGTCCTCTGCTGCCCCTTTATGGCGCGTTTCCACTGCAGCGGGTAGCCCCGTTTAAGCGTCCTTAACCGTCCTCAAGCGGCCAGGCCGGTTTTTGGTGGCGTTTCCATATAGCCTAGTACCGGCTAGCGGGTACTTTTTCCCTCTTTTTCCGGCCCCATAAAATCGTGGTTCTATCAGACCAGGGCCAGGGCTGAACTAGTGATGTCAACACTCTCGACTGCTGATTGGTCAGAGAGAATCGTCACAAGATTGCGCGCGAGTTCATCCCTAGCGTCGCATATATATTTAGAAGCAAGCTTGCAGCATTTTTATAAACAGCATTTTGTAAACGGATGAGCTACAAAAATGGCTACGTCTAATAAGAAAAGCACACCGTGGTCGACCGAGGAGGTGACGACGTTCCTACATCTCATTGGGGATGATCAAATCCAGCGGCAGCTCGACGGAACAACTCGAAATGTGAACAAAAACAAAGCCGATCGCCCCGCCTACACTGCGTTGCTAGCACAGGTCCTAAACTGTAATGGAAATGCGCCACGGCCTGGGACGGCCAGCGAGGCAGCCCGAGGCCAGAGCGAGGACGCTTAGGGACGCTTAAACGGGGCTACCCCGCTGCAGTGGAAACGCGTGACCCTAGTTTGTCTGACTCATGAGTGCTTCCCTTTTAATTGAGTAACAGTGTACGTTGTGTTTTGAATCTTTCCTGTGGTCCGCTCCCCAGAGCCGGATGTGGCCTCCAGTGATGCAACAAACATGCAGTGCACGCTTCGCAGGGATGGAGACGACTTCGTCATCGACGGCAAGAAATGGTGGAGCAGCGGTAAGTCTCTTTCTGCTTCAGTTGACTGTATACGCGGAAAAAAATGATATTATGCCAATAAGACCATTAACAACTGAAAGTACTATAGAGGTCTGCCCAGTTTTACTTGTTTTAAAGAGAGCTCCATTGGACTTTACTTCTGGAACATAGTGACATCACTATGTAACACTCGCACACCTATTGGCTAGTGCTCCAACACATTGTACGTGATAGGCTAAGGGGAGGGACATCTCTAAGCTGGTTGACCAATCACAACAGAGCCGGCCAGCTAACCAATCAGAGCAGACAGGGCTCTGGTTTCAGACAGAGGGTGAAAAGAGGTGCTGCAGCACAGTAGAGACACTACATACTGATATACACCTGAACATCAGCAGGAGAAGACTCTTTAAAGTAGAGACACTACATACTGATATACACCTGAACATCAGCAGGAGAGGACTCTTTAAAGTAGAGACACTACATACTGATATACACCTGAACATCAGCAGGAGAGGACTCTTTAAAGTAGAGACACTACATACTGATATACACCCGAACATCAGCAGGAGAGGACTCTTTAAAGTAGAGACACTAGATACTGATATACACCTGAACATCAGCAGGAGAGGACTCTTTAAAGTAGAGACACTAGATACTGATATACACCCGAACATCAGCAGGAGAGGACTCTTTAAAGTAGAGACACTACATACTGATATACACCTGAACATCAGCAGGAGAGGACTCTTTAAAGTAGAGACACTACATACTGATATACACCCGAACATCAGCAGGAGAGGACTCTTTAAAGTAGAGACACTAGATACTGATATACACCCGAACATCAGCAGGAGAGGACTCTTTAAAGTAGAGACACTACATACTGATATACACCTGAACATCAGCAGGAGAGAACTCTTTAAAGTAGAGACACTACATATTGATATACACCTGAACATCAGCAGGAGAGGACTCTTTAAAGTAGAGACACTACATACTGATATACACCCGAACATCAGCAGGAGAGGACTCTTTAAAGTAGAGACACTAGATACTGATATACACCCGAACATCAGCAGGAGAGGACTCTTTAAAGTAGAGACATTACATACTGATATACACCCGAACATCAGCAGGAGAGGACTCTTTAAAGTAGAGACACTACATACTGATATACACCTGAACATCAGCAGGAGAGGACTCTTTAAAGTAGAGACACTACATACTGATATACACCTGAACATCAGCAGGAGAGGACTCTTTAAAGTAGAGACACTAGATACTGATATACACCTGAACATCAGCAGGAGAGGACTCTTTAAAGTAGAGACACTACATACTATTGTGAACCTGAACATGAACAGAATATGACCTCTCTAAATCATTGAGGCAACTCCCCTTAAACCAAAGAATGTTTTGAAAACAGTAAATACTCAAAATGTATCGGCCTTTTAACGTTTTAAAGATGTGGCTTCAAAGCACTACAGTAAAAGCACCCAAACATTCAACATGTTGAGCACAAAAAGGGCAGATGACTCATTTAGAAGACATTAAAGCGCACTCGAGAAGTTAAAACAATGTTTTGATCTCATTCATTCTGGAAAATATGTCTCGGAGCAGCTTTGGTTGGAACAGTGAAAGGTCACAGATTCAAAACTCAACACGCAGTCAGTGTGTGTTTATCAATTGGCATTTAAACCTCTAACTGATTAGATATTATAACTGATTCAAGGTGAACAACATGCCCTTAAAATAAATCTAAATGGATAACTCACTCTTGATTTGTAGTGCAGTTTAATATCTGCCTGTAATTGGCTCTATAAATACATTTGGTTTGTATTATCCTTTGACATTTTAATAAACAACATACTGTGATGTAGAGAAGTTTTCAAACAGTCACAAACATCGTAAAGATTAGGCCGTTCGAAAACTCGTATTAGTGTTTTAAAATGTTTAATCGAGTTCTCCTAACTCTCTGAGGACGGAAAGACATTCCAGATGACACAGATGTGGTCTGAGGTCTGACTCCCAGGTTAACGGGAAACAGTGGCCTGTTGTTGTTGTTTCTGTTGTTTTTTCCCCCGAAAATCTGCACGAAAAATATTTCTCGTCGTTGAAAACTTGAAGTGCTATGGTTTACGAGAAAAAGCATCATTCTCATGTCCACATCCGTCTGTAGTTTCCGTTTCTCTTTTCTTTGGAAAGGACATTTCCATCAGTAAAACAACAACCATGGTTTGTAAGAATGCTCTCTGCCGGCATGAATAAACCTCTCTGTTCGTATCCAAGGCCGGTTCATTCTTCCTGTGACCTTGGACTGACTTTGTGGCAAACCATAATATGTTTTGTCTCTCTGCACTGTCTAGACCAGTGGTTCTCAAAAGAAATGCAATAATGTACCTCAATAATGTACCCCCTTTGAAAAAACAATTCAGCCACGTACCCCCTGATCAGCGCAAAAACTATTTGTTAAGGAAGAAATGCCTATAAAGAGGTACAGTGCAGCGCTGCACCATCAGTGTCTGAGTTATTAAAACAACAACCTTGTAACTGAGAAACACTTAAATGTACATTTCAAATCTTTACAATCCATCACTAAATTACATTACATTACATTACATTACATGTCACTTGTTAGACGCTTTTATCCAAAGCGACTCACATACTCAACACTGTGGACAATCCCCACAGGAGCAATTTGGGGTGAAGTGTCTAAGGGACACAACGACATGCTGACTGCAGTCATGAGTAACCTGTGACCCCCTGATCCGAACACCAACGCTCAACCCACTGCACCACACGCCTCATGGCAAACCAATTTTAACATCATGCAATAACACTAAGACGACATTAGTTGCATTGAACTGATCTTTTTAATAAGTTGTACTTAATGTAGTGAAACATGGGCTTGAGCTTCACTGAGGATCGTTGTCATTCTGACAGGGAGGCAACTGCAGTTATACACTTCGTGTTTTGAAATATGTGAAACTCTGTTAATATAAAACCCACACTGCTCAAACTTCCTTATTTTTCCTAAAATTGGTATATTTATTTATTTATTTATTTTGGGGAATGAAGAGAAAAAAATATATGCATTTTATGAGCATGGGATTTTGACCCCTCCTAAACATATGCTTAATGCTGCGCTATACTTTGCGGCCACACGCCGTTGCCAAGCAACGCTTATTGTTTAGGTCCTTTGATAAGCAGGCAGTCATATCATTAACTAGGACTAGCTAGATCTCATAGATTTGGACATAAACATGAGTGAAGTCTAACCGGACGCGAGAGAGAGATCAGAGAGCAGATCAGCTGCTGCTGACGGAGAACACGCAGCTCTGCATGATCACAGCTCCGCCGCTGTGACGGACCGTTGAGCAAAATACACTAAGAGTTAGACCGAACACACTTAGCTAGTTTATCTACTCTGGAACTAGCTAAACTAGTTATAAACATATTTATTCTTTACTGTCGGGTCACTCATTACAGGTTCAGCGAGCTGCACGAGACTGACGGGCTGTCAGGAGAGGGAGAGGAAAAGAGAGCACCCTGTTTATTTTCCCCATTTTATTATCCAGAGTTTCTGTAAACCTTTGAATAAAGTGGTTAATCTACTATTAGCAGTTTGTTTAAATGCATTACTTATGTTTTTTTTTTTCATTAACATAAAATAAATCTCACGTACCCCCTGCAGTACTCCAACGTACCCCTAGGGGTCCGCGTACCCCCATTTGAGAACCACTGGTCTAGACACTCAATCTGATATTAAAGAAGACTTTCATACTTGTATTTAGTCAGAATCAGAGGCTTTATCACCAGGTAGGTTTACACGTACGAGGAGCTTGACTTGATGTCATGGTGCGTACATAAAAGTAAAACAAACATTTAAAACACAGATAGAAATATAATAACATGTGTGTATATCAGTGGTGTCTCTACTTTAAAGAGTCCTCTCCTGCTGATGTTCAGGTGTATATCAGTGGTGTCTCTACTTTAAAGAGTCCTCTCCTGCTGATGTTCAGGTGTATATCAGTATGTAGTGTCTCTACTTTAAAGAGTCCTCTCCTGCTGATGTTCAGGTGTATATCAGTATGTAGTGTCTCTACTTTAAAGAGTCCTCTCCTGCTGATGTTTCAGGTGTATATCAGTATGTAGTGGTCTCTACTTTAAAGAGTCCTCTCCTGCTGATGTTCAGGTGTATATCAGTATGTAGTGTCTCTACTTAAAGAGTCCTCTCCTGCTGATGTTCAGGTGTATATCAGTATGTGTGCCTCTACTTTAAAGAGTCCTCTCCTGCTGATGTTTAGGTGTATATCAGTATGTAGTGTCTCTACTTTAAAGAGTCCTCTCCTGCTGATGTTCAGGTGTATATCAGTATGTAGTGTCTCTACTTTAAAGAGTCCTCTCCTGCTGATGTTCAGGTGTATATCAGTATGTAGTGCCTCTACTTTAAAGAGTCCTCTCCTGCTGATGTTCAGGTGTATATCAGTATGTAGTGTCTCTACTTTAAAGAGTCCTCTCCTGCTGATGTTCAGGTGTATATCAGTATGTAGTGCCTCTACTTTAAAGAGTCCTCTCCTGCTGATGTTTAGGTGTATATCAGTATGTAGTGTCTCTACTTTAAAGAGTCCTCTCCTGCTGATGTTCAGGTGTATATCAGTATGTAGTGTCTCTACTTTAAAGAGTCCTCTCCTGCTGATGTTCAGGTGTATATCAGTATGTAGTGCCTCTACTTTAAAGAGTCCTCTCCTGCTGATGTTCAGGTGTATATCAGTATGTAGTGTCTCTACTTTAAAGAGTCCTCTCCTGCTGATGTTCAGGTGTATATCAGTATGTAGTGTCTCTACTTTAAAGAGTGCTCTCCTGCTGATGTTTCAGGTGTATATCAGTATGTAGTGCCTCTACTTTAAGAGTCCTCTCCTGCTGATGTTCAGGTGTATATCAGTATGTAGTGTCTCTACTTTAAAGAGTCCTCTCCTGCTGATGTTCAGGTGTATATCAGTATGTAGTGTCTCTACTTA